CACTGGTTTTTGCTCCAGGGCAGCTTGAGTTGTGTCACTTTGGCTTACATCAGCAAAAGAGTGCAGGGATTACAGTACAATAATAACTATATTAGTATCAAATGATTAATACCACATTTGATACCTCATGTGAGCAGCTGATGGATACAAAGCAGAATCCTGTGAGGCTGAGATTTAACTTTTAGCACAATAAAAAATTAACTACTTCATACTGGCTGTGTGTTATTTACTCTCCTGAGATTTTCTTTATCTGGATGAATTGTGAATACAGACTTTCCACTTCAATTAATTTACAGAACATCAGGTCCCTGGTATTTATACTGTGTTCAGTGGTGTGGTATCTGAGTTACACTCAATAGTTACACCAAGTGCTATTCAATTATTCTTTTCATTGGATATTATGCCAAATTTCTTTGAGGGCAAAAGATAAGATTCAGTGAACAAAAAAATTGTTTATTTATGAGACATGGTTGGGAGCCCTCAAGTAGTGAGGAAATCAAATTCTTTTTATCTGCTAGCAAGCTGACTTTAGCATCTCAGCAGGGTAAAGAAGAAAAGAACTACTTTAGCTTGTCTTTGTAAAATACCAAGCCCTTTAAACTCCATACCATGCCAAAATTCAAGGTATTGGGAACCTTGCAGTATCATGCCCTTTACTTGCTGGAATGTGGAGCATGATACCTCAGTGCTGAAGACAAGTTGGTTTCTGAATGGCTCCAAAGGCAGCTGGCTGTCATACTTAAGCATCTAGGAGTCAGTTCATCTGCACTTTGGTCCTTAGCAGTAATTTCTGCACATGAAAGACATAAATTGAATTTGCTGAGGATGCACTCTATCCCTCAGCATGTTTATCAGGAGGCTGTTCAGCAAAATCTGGATGGGCTGGAGAGTTGGGTGGAGAGGAACTTCATGAGGTTCAATGCAAATGCATGAGGTTCTGCAAATGCAGAGTCCTACACCTGGAGAAGAATAACCACATGCATCAGTACAGGTTAAGGGCTGACCTGCTGAAGAAGTGCTCTGCAGAGAAGGACCTGGGTGTTCTGATGGACAATAGGTTAGTCGTGAGATGTCTGTGTGGCTGAGAAGGCCAATGGCAACGGGGGTACATTAAAAAGAATGTGACCAGCAGGTTATCCCCCCCCACTCCTGTCTTGGTGAGGTCACATCTGGAGTACTGTGTGCAGTTCTGGGCTTTCTTGTTCAAGAAAGGCAGGGAGCTTTTAAGGAAAGTCCACCAGAAGGCCACAAAGATGATGAGGGTCCCGGTGTATATCTCCTTTCAGAGGAAAAGCTGAGAGCCCTGCGACCATTCAGCCTAGAAAAGACAAGACTGAGCAAGGATCTTATCAATGTTTATGAAAGTCTAAAGCATGGATGTCAAGGATGGGGACAGGCTCTTAGTGTTGCCCAGAGACAGGACAAGGGGCAACATGCACAAACTGGAACACAGCGGCGTTTCATGGAGAGCTCTGTCCTTGTATCTGTTATGCCTTACATGGAGCAGAATCACAGCTGAGGTCCTTAGTTTGGGCTATAATGCAGGTTTGACATCATCACTGTCTTATTCTCTAGGCTGAAGAGCAACACCCCCAGTGGGGCTGTTAAATATTACTATCTATGATGCATGTAGCCAGTAAACAGAAGAATGTTCACAATCCTTCCTCAACTGCTTAAAAAAGCAAGAGATGAGCCCCTGAATGTCCTGGTTCTAAAACCGCTTTATCTGCTATTCAGTTTGAAGGTAAGAGTCAAGTATAACAATTATAACATGACTGAATGTGAGTTTTCTTTGTGAAAAGTGAACTCTATATTAGCAACCTCATTAACTGGATTTTTTTTTGTTGTTTTTTTAAATAAGATCCTGCTTCTAGGACTAAAACATGTCTGATGCATGCAGGCACTTCTGTTTTCAGTGAAAACCCCTGTTAATATGGTACAAGCCCCCTTAAAATGCAGACATGCACTCGGCAAATTTGATAAGCCCTGAGATGAATTTAGACGCACAAAGATGGTGAAGAAACTTAATCCTTCCTACATAAGATAATGTTTAAACAAATCTATTTCATTCAATGAAACACCTGGGCAAGCTTATTTAATATAGTCTTTGCATTTAATTAGCTCAATTGAAGGGGCACCTGCCATATTTCAAACTACAATTATTTCCTTTCTTATTAATTATTTTAAGATCCTCAAATGAAATCTGGGAAGAGATGCAATTAAAAAAGAAAGGAGAAAAGAAAGAAGGGGGCAGTCTTAATTAATCTGAGCTACCACAAGTCATCTTTTTGGAATAGAGAAGATGGGATAAGGGACTGAAAACAAATAGTACTTTAAAAATCAGACTCTCTACATGAATAATGAGAATAGTCATTAAAACCTGAAAAGAGCTTGGTGTGAATGAATTGTTGCTAGGCATTAATATCAGAAACACACACTTTCATGCTAAACCATCATAAGGAGAAAAGTCAAAAATAGAAAAATAATTATGTGAAGTACTCAGTATGGTCAAAATTACTGGCAGAACTTGAGGAACTGTAAAATTATGATGTACCCAGAGAACAATATAGTCCACAGTCAGTGTCTCCATTCTTTCTCTCGTTCTGCTCTTGTGGGATTGGCATAAACAAAGCTATTCCATTTGGAAAGAATTTATTCCCTAATATATATCTGACAAGCAATTTCACCAAGAGTGCTCTATCTGCACAATCCAATTACCCTTACATTTACAAAATGAATATGAATACACAACTGGAACTGCAATAGGAAAAGGATGTGGACACTTTTATTCTAGATAGTAAACTTGCCAACCATAATAACATGAGCACAAGCAATTATATCATTGGTGTTTTCATTCAGCATCAATATTACTTGAAAGGGTGTTTGCAAATTAGCAATGAATGTAATTGTGTATTGGTATTGCCTAAATTTGCTCTGCTTGCCTGGATACAAACAAGAGGAGAATTTGTGCCCATTTTTGGCAATTAAGTACTAGTCATATAGGGTTCTCCTGTTTAATCATTTAACATGACACTTTGCTCTCTGAACTGCTAAGTATGGTTTTGCAAAGATTATAACATGTGTACCTTAATCTTTACAAAAAAACAAAACAAAACAAAACAAAATAGCGCTCTGTAATATTAGTAACAGGTTTCCCTTGTATTTTCATCTCTCTACAAAGCGTATGTTCCACACTTCACTGATATGAAATCAATTCTTTCTGACAGAAACAGGTTTTTTTTTTTTTCCTTTTATTCCATCAAACAATTACAAACTTTAATTTCCAATCCAAGTGAATTCAGTTATCAGGTTGTACTACTGCTTCATCTAGTCAACAAATCAAGCTGCTTCATGCCATCATGAAACAAATTCAAAGCCAAATCTCACAGCTTAAGTAAGGCTTGCTTTTCCCTGGTTTTACAGGAGATATGAGGTTTATTTCACTTTTCTGAAGAAGTATGTTTTCTCTATCCTTTGCGTAAGTGTTTTTGCTGTCTTTTTATTGCTATTAGTCAATAAAACTCTTCTAAAAATACTCTCTCGGGCTCAATCTCGGCATTGAAAGCATGTGCTTTCTCTGGGAAATACTTAAAAATGATAGGAAATGCTCATGAAAGATGGGCAGTAATGAGGGGGAAAACATTTTCTCTCCCTTTTTTTTTTTTGTGTGTGTGTGTGTGTTCTTGTACCTGAAGATATTTTCACATTTGAACTAAAACATTGGTGTTTATTTGTTGCAGAATGTTATTCAAACAATATATTCCCAGAGACTTCATGCTGGGTGAGGAGCCCTCTTGAAACTTATATTCATTCTCTTTTTCCTGTCTGCAAAATGGCATTGAGTTCCATACCTCAGTCCTTTCCCTTCCTCAAGCTATCTCTGAAGCACTATGACACAGTGTTCACACCTGAGCCTGACCTTTGAGATAAAAATGAGGAGAAGTTAAGGTTTCTAGTTCACAAGAGGTGAGAGATCAGTTACATTACAAAAGTTGTGGCTAAAAGATGTCATCCTGTAAACAGGCGCAATAGCCAATAACTGGTAATAACTTCTAAGTTTCATGGTAAAATGACCTCATCAGAACTGCATAGAACTATAGAACCAGCTAAATAACCACCCAGTAGCTGCTCAGTCATTAAACTCTTTATATTGTGTTTATCTTTCTCCTATTCTGTTTTTTGTTGTTGTTGTTGTTTTTTCTTTTTTCATGTAGCACTGTCTTTTCCAGGTTAGAATCACAGCATCTTTTAAGTTGGAAGGGAACCTTTAAAGGTCATGCAGTCCAACTCTCCGTCAGCCCAGGATTGGCTTTCTGGGCTGTGAGGGCACACTGCTGGCTCATGCCCAGCTGCCATCTGCCAGTACCCCCAGTTCCTTTTCGGCAGGGCTGTGCTCTGTCCTTATATCCCTCAGATTGTAGTGACAGTGAAGGTTGCCGCAACCCAGGTGCAAGACCTTGCAGTTGGCTTTGTGGAATCTCATAAGGTTCCCCTAGGCCCACTGCTGGAGCCTGTCCTGGTCTCTCAGAATGTCATTCCATCCCTCGAGTGTTGACTGCACCACACAGCTTGGAATCCTCTGCAAACTTGCTGAGGGTGCACTCAATCCCACTGTGAATGTTACTGATGAAGATATGAAAGAGCACTGGTCCCAGTACTGACTCCTGAGATTTACAAGCAGTGAGTGAAATTCTTTGCTTAACAACTGGGAGGTTTAATCTCAGCTAGCAGTAGGCAGGACAAAGGCCTGCAAGCCTGCAGCGGAGCAACTGAGGTTTGTAACCCAGGGCTCGGCCCCGCACCTCGCGCTCAGCCTGACGTGGAGAGGCGGGGGGCGGCCGCGGCGAGGCGGGAGGTTGACGGCGAGAGGCTCTAAAATGGGGGTGAAAGGGTGAGGAGGGGGAGGAGTGGAGGAATACCGAAAGGAGAAAAACGACGGGAGCGTGAATGAGCAAAGGGAGAAAGAGGAGCGAGCGGGAGCCGAGCGGAACGTCCCGGCCATGGCACGGCGGGCCGGGGGCCGCGGGGGGCCCCGCCTGCTGCTGGGGCTGTGGCTAGTGCTGTGTGGGATGCGGGGCGGCAGCGCCCAGTACCCGCAGTACTCCCGCGGGGCGGGCCGGTCCCTCAGCTGGGGCCCGGCGGCGGCCTGCAGCCCTCGCTGCCTGCACGGCGGGCTGTGCCTCGGCAACGGCACCTGCCTCTGCTCCAAGGGCTACGAGGGCGAGCTCTGCCAGCACGGTAACGGCGGGGCGGGGGGCGAGGGGCAGGGCGCGCGAGAGGTGGTGCGGCGGTGCTGTGTTAGGTCACGTTTTCCCCATGAAGGTTGCCTAAATGCCCTAGGCTTCTGCATTGGCTTGTTTTTTGTCGTTTTCTCTATGGACGCGTAAACTTCCCTGAGCAAGGAGAGGTGTTTTTTGAGGCTTGACTGCCGTCCAGACGTGAGGAACATGAACTGATGTTTCTAGGTGGGATTAGTGAGACGCGTACTAAGAAGCCAAAAACGTGTACAGAAGGCAGGTTGCTCTCTGCATCCCTTGCTTACTCAGACTGCATTGTGCTCGTAAAATCTCATTTCCCAGGTGTTTCTGCCCAGCAGTCGCTGGCATGTCCCACTGCTGTGCCGGCAGGTGTGAAGCTGGGTTAGGTTTTAAAGCTTGTTCCCGTGGGCGTGCACAACACGGCTGAGTTCTGATCCATGTCTTGAGAAGTTTAACTATAGAGTTCTGTGGCTAAAACTCAGTAACCAGGAAAAGCTGCTTTGCCTTCGTCTGAAATGTAATTTTTTTCAAGCTTTGAAATGGGATGTGTGGCAGGTGCAGCAAATTGCATCTAACTGACTGTGTGTGTGTGTTGTGCTTTTTTTTTTTTTTAAAGTGAATATCATGGTCTTGAAAGGGGCAAAAAAGAGGGTGATGTGTCTTATATTCACTGGCTCTTGAGATACAGATAGAAAGGGGAAGATCTGTTCCATCATTTAAACAAACAAAAATTTTAAAAAGGACATTTTGGGGAAAGAAGTCTAATCTTTAAAATAGATGGTCTTGAAACTGTTGTTTAAATTTTTGATTGCAAGGTGAACGGACCCAATTAATATACACTGATCTTTGCTTAGTGCAGGTTTTAGAATAGTTTTAGACGTGGAATTGTATATCATGAATGTAATGGAGGAAAAACATTGAGCGACACTTTTTGTAGGGCTCATTCTCTCTGGTTGAAAGAGGTGCTTAGAGAAGATTTTTACTACTTAGCTGTCTTGCTCCAAGGGGGATTGCAGAGACAGGCAAGGCTGTATGTAGAAGTTCTGGTGGAGATTCCACCTATGAGCGCCTTGGATCTCTGGACGCAGGTATTGCAGAATACTTAAGGTGCTTCTAGCATAACTTTTATTCTGGTGAGCAGCTGCAGATCAGGTTCTTCCCTATAGATAGAGTCAAGCTTGTTCAGGGAAGGCAAAGAACCATTGCAGATATTTTGGCAAAGGGTAAAACTAACATAAGGAAAAAATATGCAGTTTGTAGACTGTGGATTTCAGCATAGTATCTTTTCATCAGAGCTGTAGCCCTATGTTGAAATGCTTTCTGAAGCCTTATGGAGAGTCTTCAGTTCTATCCTATAAATATATCTAAGTACTTGGATGTCCAGATAGTCACAGTTAGTCGATAAGCATAGCATAGAGTCCCAGCACTGCATAATACACAATACTGTCTTTTTAGGATCTCATTGCTATTCTCTTGGTTTCTTTCCTGTTTCACACCAGTGATTCCTACTTGCTATGCTTTCTTCATACTAGTGATACCGAATTTAACTGTTTGATCTTCAGGACAGAGCCACTCTTTCTGTCTGTATGCAACTCCACAGTGATATTTTGATACTGCCGCCAATTGTGGGGACAAAAACAAACACAATAAACCTGTGAAATAACACAGAAATAGAATTTTCCTTAAATTGAGAGCTCTTCTGTGATATTTCCAATCAACTAAGTATCTGATAAAAAAGCTATGTAGTGCTGAGTGCTGAATGGTTCTATCATACATGTCTGTGTCCTTTATTTGTATGCAAGTACTCATTCTACAGTTATTAATATGAAAAATCCTCTACTTCTCAACTGGATTTTGCCCTCACACTGACACCAAGCAGTGGTTTTATTCAGTGCTCGTCTTTTTTTCTTCCCACTGTTTCAGACTTCTCATTTATCCAGGCAAAGGATAAGGAAGTGTGATGGTGAGAATTCATCTCGCACCTGCAATTAATTCAGATGAGACTCTGAAACACATAGGATCCTAGAATTTGAGTGTGAATAAACAAATGTTTTCTCAGAAAGCCGATCTGATTGAGGAATGATTTAGGACTAGTAAAAGGAGAGCTGTGTGCTGAGTAATTTATTTGCAGTCAGACTGGACTTCCCTTGAATTCTGCTACATTGAGCTTACGCACATTTCTTCTTATCACCTCGTTTGTCCCCTGCTATTTCTTGCCTTAAATTATCAAAAACTTCTATCACAGTCAAGCTGTATTCTTTTTACTTTTTAATACAACCACATCTTCTCTCTGTTCTGTCTACAATGCAAATTTTTCTTTAGTTTTGAGTGTTTAAGAGCTTCAGAATGATGCTTTCTGTGCAGGGTTACCCTGTGCAACATGGGATGGCAGAGCAAACATATCTTAGGAAATGTGAAGACAAACTGTGCATTTGGTGACTGAAAGAATGCACATTTCTTATGTATTTAAGCATTAGCTTCAGTAAGTTTCACCTACGTTTGTTATCTTTCTTATAGCAACATGTTATCCAAAATGCAAAAATGGTGGAGAGTGCCTGAGACCTGGAAAATGCCGATGTCCACCTGGCTATGGGGGCAGATACTGTCATAAGGGTGAGTAAAACACAAGTGTTAGCATGGAAAGGCTCAAAGTTTGAGAACAGATTAAATGCATTTGGGACTTCTCAAATTCAGACTGTAATGCACTTTGAAATAATGACCTTAATTCCCTAGACCTCCGACTTTACTGTCAAAAAATGCGTTGCCAAAGCATGGATGTTCAGCCTTTTGGCTTGCCTGGACCACATTCAGTGAGAAGGAATTGTCTTAGGCCACATATAAAATACATTGGTTGCTCTGAACATAATGCCTCCTATTTATTTTCAGGAAAACTACAGTAGGTTCAAAGAGCATAATCACAGTATTTGATAGGGCAAATTCTCAGCTACACAGTCACCACCATTAGCTATGCATTTTTGCATTTTGAAGAACAAAAGCTTGCATGCAGTGCTTGTAAAAATCTGCACCAGTGGAGATGAGCACCTGTTGCCACTGCTGAAACACCACCCATCACCTCACTGTGCTCACATCCACTGTTTGGCCTCCATAAATCTTCAGCAAATGCTGATGAATGTCAGTAGACGCCATTTTTTTTTTTCACATGACAGAATTCAGTGACACACCTTTGCTTCATACACGCTTCTATGTCAGATGCCGTTTTGTCAGACTGGCCCTCTGCTGCCATCTGACACGTGGCAACAAATTTAAGGGAACACTGGAAGGTTCACCCTCTTCTGCCATATCAGCAACATGACATTTCTGGTGTCATAGGCCAGCATAATAAAACAGGAGACATTACTTTTGGAACAGCCTTTATATGTAATATAGCTAATGTATAACAGCAGAAAAACATTCCATTTTTTTTACATTTTTTTTAATTAAAACAAAAAGAGAGCAACAAAATCATAAAACTAGTGAGATATTTGACCTTGTTTTTGTGAAACTAATGCATCAGTCTGGCTCAGTGGCAGTGGCTGCAATTCTTAGTGAGTTCTCAAGGCGTTTGTCAGAGATTTTTGATGGAATTTTACTCTTATTGTGCTTCATCCTTGAGACAGTTGTTCACAAACCTACGTACTGCCAAAAAATGATGACATGAATATTGTGAAGCGAGGGATATTTCCTTCTGGTAAGAGAGATCTTATAAAGGTCTCATGAAAAAAAATTAAATAAAAAATGATCATATTTTTGAGTCAGATATCTGATTGCATGTCAGTATACTCCATTTGAAAAATTGCAGGTAATGTAGTTATGTTGACTGAAAATAGAGTTGGAACTATAACAAAAAATTGATGATCTTAACAACAATCTTAAACCCTATTCTCAAATTCCTTTATGAAAACAGAAAGCATGATTGTGTATCTTTTGCTCTTTACAGGATTGTGTTTAGCTAACGTATCAAACTGCATAGAATTATTTGCCATAACTTGAGCTGGCACTGCAGCGCACCCTCCCCATGTTCCCCTTTCAGCCCAGACAGTGCCAATCACACAGCGGTGTTTGGCTGTTGCTGAGCACTGAGTGTGTGCCTGGGCTGGGCCACTCGACAGGGAAGAGCCACTGCCATGATGGCATATGGGGCACGGGGTAGCTGCAGGGTGGGCTGGGCCACGTGAGTGGGACATGCCTGAACTAGAGGGTCTGTGTGCTTGATAATGGTATGCAGTGTCTGTACTGAAAGTTATTGGGAGAATTTGAGATAATTTTGACTCTTGTAAATACAGTGTTGATGTGTTATGTGATATTAAATGATTTAAATTCTGTTCAGTGATATAGCAGACTTCCTGAATAATCAGGTTTGAATAGATGGATATTAATGTGTTAGGTAGCTGAAACTGATGTAGCATCTGTAAGATGGCAGTATTGAGGGCAAGCTGCTAAAGATACACTTAGCAAGGTCTTGGTGATAGTGGGAGATATAAAGTGATAGTGAGGAGTTATAAAGACCAATTTTTATGGTTTTGTGAAGCCTAATATATGCATGGGTTGGAAAGGGCAATCCAGGAAACGTTGCTAAGTTAGGAACTTATAAGACTATTGATGATAATTCTTGAGTTCTAGGATAAAGGGAGAAGCGAACTTGAAACAGTTTGAGGGGAAACCGGTGTAGTAAGCAAGATATTCCAGAAAGTGAAGAAGAAATCATTGTTTTTCTTTCATCAAGAAAGCCTGTGACTCTTAGAAACTTACCATCGGTTCTCGGTGAAGAGGCACTTTTAAATTGTGGAATCATAGAATTGTACAGATTGGAAGGGACCTCTGAAAATCATTGAGTCCAACCTCCAGATTAGTTGGGCTGTTGCTAAGGACTTGATGAGCATTCCTTCCAACCATGGTCAGAGCAGCTGGAAGCACCTTGCTGGAGTCTCTGTTTATTCTTGATATTTATCCTGTGGGCATTTGCTTCATCTCCTTCCTAATGTGAAATAGCTACAAGAGTTTACATGGAGTGCAACCTCTTGGAGACTTGAGAAGGAACTTGACTAGATTTTGCAGCTCTGAAATCCTGTTGGGCTGTCTGTAGGATTTGGTGTATTTTATGAAGAGAGTTTGACCTGAGCATACCTGGCAGGATAATATCTACATTTGCAGAACCTCAAACTATAGCTCTGGGATATTAATGAGATTGAATGGCAATGCAAATGCCACTGATAATACATTGATATAAAAATTGTTAATATAATCTTCATCAGGAGACACTACTTTGTAACACAGTACTGTGTAATGCATTGAGGAATAACCTTTCGTTTTGAGTGGACTTAGCAGTACCAACAGTGAGGTAAACTGGAACATGGTCGAGTTCATTTTCTAGCAAAAGACTTCAAATACTCTTTTTTATTTCTTAAAAGCCAACTGAAAGTGTAGGTCGGTGGGATCTGTGTAGCAGGGAGAACTTCACCTTTTCAGAGTAATCTGAATCAGAAGGAAGATGATAGGCTCTTAAACAGAGAAAGTAGAATATGGATTTAGTTTGTGCTCGTGCTATAGGCTAGATTTGGATCTCTACATGAGCAGATGTACTACAGTTTCTGGTGGTCTCGCTGTGAGGCAAAGGATGTGATGAAATATGATGGCTTATAGCTTGTGCAAACTTGCTGTGAAGTGCAGTGTGTTATTAAAAACAGTAACTTATACTGTATGATGGAGGAACGTGAAACAGGCTCTGAAGAGCTTTTCTGGTTATACTGGAGTTGATTTGTTGCCCTTGCAGTTCAGCATTTGTACCAGAAATCTGTTAGCTGAATTCATGCTCATAACTTGTGGTAGAAGAAAGATTTCAACTTAAGTGTGAAGTATTGAGCAGACATTCTGACTGTTCATTGTTAAAATGAAGGATAGTTGTTTCTTTTCCATAAAGTGAAAAAGTTGTATATATTTACATTCATTCTTGTGAAAAGATGCATTTGATTGTAAAGAACAGCAATTATGCCATGTTTCAGAGGCAATATTGCAGTCCACAGTTGATATTAATCATATGTCTGGCATAAATAATGCTTAATTAAGCCTTCAGGGCTTTGATATGTAGAACAATTCTGAAATGAGGAGGCTTACTTAGTTGGCCTTTAGTAAAGCACCACTTGACTGGAGCATAGTCATAGTTTCATTTGTCAAAGTAATAATCCCCTTCTTCTTCCTCTTGTTATATGTTGGAACTGGCAGAAAATTAAATACGTGAATCCTAGACCACATATTACTGACTTATCAGCTCTGATTTGGCTAGATTGATAAGAATACATGTCAGTAGTTGCTGTGATGTAGCTGCTCAGCTGTTGGTTTACAGTTGTTTTTTTGTTTGCTTTTTTTTGGGGGGGCGGTTGTGGCACCATGATGATCATGTTTGTTAGCACCCTCAGTACTCTTATGAGGCCAACAAACTCATGCTTAATTCTAACTACGTTTTGAGATGGCATGTGCTGACATGGTTCTGTCACCCTTGCTCATTCCTGATGATGTGCCTTGCAGTGAATAGTCAAACTTGTAGTCGTTACAGATGTGATGAAATAAGTAATTGACATACAGATAATTACTCAGTTACCTGTGCTGCTCCTGAATGTACTGTGCATGCTGTTTCTCTGCAGTAAGCTGTGAAGGAGGCTGTCAAAATGGCGGGGAATGCATCTCTGTCAATGGGGTTGTGAAGTGCCTTTGTGCTTCTGGCTGGACAGGATCAAGGTGCCAGGAAGGTGAGTACTGCTTCATCTTCACCACAGCTGATTGAAGTGCTGACAGTCCCTAAACATTGTAAGTCCTGATGGCAGCCTAATGAGACTCAAGTAGTAAAAACAAAATTTGCTGGATAGATCACTGAAGTAGTTTCAAGTTTTTTTTTGTCTCAGGATATATCAATAAAAATGTAACAGCAGTAACAAAAACATTTTAAAAGGATTAAGAGGCTAATAACTATGGAAGTGTCACTACATTATGACAGAATCAAAGAACCTGCATTACTGGTATGTATTCAGAAAAAATACTGTCAAGTTATTCCACATTAAAGTGTGCATATGTTAACATTTAAACTTAAATACTTTGTATATGTATATTTTCTTTTTCCTTTTTTTAAATTAAAAAAAAAAATTTTTTTTTTTTTTTTGTTTCCCTGGTCCTGGAGATGCCTTTGGAGTAATACTAGTTGAGCATCTGAGCTGGAATAAAATGTATTTTGCCATTTTGATTTGTATCATTCTGAATATTTCATTCTGTCAGGATTCTTTTATATCAGTTTTATAAATCCTGTTCTCTTTCCCATTCTTTTCTTCTAGCAATTTGCCCTCAAGGTTGCCGGAATAATGGAGCTTGTGTTGCTCCTGGGATTTGTAGCTGTCCAGCTGGATGGGTCGGTGGAGCATGTCACTTAGGTAAATAACTTCTGACATTTTTCTTGTATCCCTTCTCTACTTGTTTGATTTATACAGTACAGTGTTCAAATCTTCAGTGCCTAACAAAGCTGCTAGAAGTGTCTTAGAACAGTAAATGAGAAGTTCTTCTGCATACTGGGGATCTTATGTATATGTGTCAGGAATAGATAGCTTTTTAGCTTGGTCAGAAAAACATAACTTTTTCACTTCAAGTGACTTCAAATTCAGATCTCATTTGTTGCCAAATTCATTGCTTTGAATACACTGTATTTCTGAAATATTTACTGTAAACTGAGGTTCCAGACTAAAGAACCAAAAAGCAGCCATTATAGAAATGCTATTACTATTGATATTGTTTAGAAACTTCAGTAAATTTTACAGATGTGGAGAACTGAAACTTGCTTTTCACTTTGAAGATAAATTGGGAGAATCAGCTCTAGGTGATTTTAAAAAAGCAAGAGAAAGTTTTCTGTACTCAAAATTCCTACTGAGCAAGTACTTGCCTTTCAGAAAATTTTGATTCACAAAAGCAGATGAAGGTTATAAAATCTGCTCAGAGCTGCATGGCCCTGTGTGCCTGTAACAGTGCTGCCCTGATGCCAAAGGTAATAGTCCTGAGGCTGAAAAAAGAAGAGCTTTTTGTTTGCTTTCTGGAATGCTGAGAGATAACTCACTTAAATGTTGCTTTTGACCTGGATATGGTAGGTACAAGGTCTCTGGTCTAAATCCTCCTGCATATGTAATATTTGTGTGATTCAAGGAGTCCAAATTTGCTAGTATTAGCTCTTCTGCAATATGTATGTTGTTCAACAAACAATAACAAACAAATGTTCCCATTTGATTGGGAAAATGCTTATTCTTTGTATTCAACAGTGTATTGAGATAGAGGGTGATGTTAAAAGGTAAGTATGGGATGTAGAAATTGCAGAATGCCTGCTTCCACTCCCTGCACCAGCAATAACGGTAGAAGTACTCAGGTTCTGAATATCAAAATAACAACCATGCCTGAATTAACTAAATCTTTTTCCGATTTGACTTCTCTTAGCAAAGGTGCTTATAAGAAAATTGCAGCCCTCTTGTGTGTTATCTTGACTGCTGTATGACAAGAGGGTGTGCTTATGGCTGTGCCTGCTTAGTTGACCACTGCCTTTCTGGTCCTCCACTCCTCCTAATGAAGGATGGCAATGTGTAAGCAGTACCTAGTACATAGAATCTGTTTGCATGTGGATCTGTGGATCCAAAAACTGCCTTGAAGAAGTTTCAGCAGAAATTTTTATTGCTCCCTGTAGAGGAAATGCTAAATCAGGGCTTGAACTAGTGATCGAGCACCTGGTGTGAAGGCAGGGCCATCCCAGGGGGGCTCTGATGCATGCACCTAAGTAACTGGTGGGGTGGAGTCAGGATCCACCCCAGACCTCATTTAAGGGTTGGCAGTGGAGGCAAAAGTATCTCTCACTGGAGATCTTCGTGTACGTGATGCCTTCCAAGGGTAAGCAGATTTTTTTTTTTCCTTCTTTTCTTTGTTTTTGTATCCATGGCTGCTTCGTTTGAGCTTGTCTTCACGTGCTGCAGCCCAGGACTTTGCTACTCTGCTGTTATTGCTGCGCTTTCCATCACATTATAGTTTTACATTCCCTCACTCTCATGGAGACATCCATCTAAAAGACAGTCTGAACTTTAAAGAACAACAGAAATGATGGTATTTCAAATAGGGAATGGAGCACAAATAAGACTAGATGTACTGTGGCTGTATTCCAGTGAAGGCCATGATGGTATAAATTGAGAAGCATTGCTTTTTGGTTCTTCCATTGTGCTTTTATTTATGCTGTCCCAACATGGTCCACCAGGGAACAATTGTGTTAGTACAGTAAGACGAAGAAAAATGATCATATGTTGTGCAGAAGATGTATTGTGTGTCTGGTATCTCATTTCAGCTGTATGTAAACTACCTTGTCAACATGGAGGAAAATGCATAGCTCCGAACGTGTGCAGATGTCGACTGCCCTACTCTGGTCTACAGTGCACAAAGAAAAGAAAGGAATGAAACAGCTTCAGCAAAGATAAGCTGTAATTTCTTGTAACTCTTCATGCAGAGATAAAATCTGAGGGAAGAGATAGGGAGGAACTTAAGTGGTAATTAGTTGAAGTCAGGTAGCTTTTTGTCTTTAGTATTCTGAGTAAATTCATTTCTCTATGGAAAGAGAAGTATTGCTGATAGTAATAAAGCTGTTAAAAATATCCAACTGTGTGTAGTGTATGATGCACTCTACTGTATGTGTAGTATATGTTTTTCTGCTGTTCTCACTTTTCTTCGTAAGCAGAGCTATTATGTCGTGGTTGATAGAGCTGAACTTGAAGTAAAACTTACTCTTCAAATAAAATACTTCAGATCGGATGTGTGCTCTTCTATTTCATTATTTATTTTTCAGACTGGAATTGTGGTGTTTTATTAGCAATGTGCTTTTTCAAAAAGCGCGTGAAACAAAACCTCCTTAATTCAGATTATAAGAAGGGGTTGTTAGTGCAAGTATAACTTACTTTTGTTAAGATGACACAGTTGAAAAAGAAGCATGAAGTTTGCTGATGTTTCAGAAAGATGCAAACTGCAAGGCATCTTATCAAAATCCTGATTATTGATTTGTGTATACTTCCTGCCCCTCACCACAGTCAGATTTGATCTTCATCAGTTAAGCTTTATTTAAAAAAAAAAAAAAGTACACATTAAGACAGTTCCATTGTTACCTTCTAAAAGCTTAATCCATGCTAATGCCCTAAAAGAGTCCTTATCTTGACCACTCTTACAACTGTAGTATCTGATCATTTCTCTGCTTCCAATTTATTTCTTTTCCTTATCCGAGTAAGATAGGGGAAGTCTTTATCTTCCTTACAGAGATGTAGGCATTGATGATTCATGTTCAAGATTGTGTCTGCAGGAGCAACATAATGGGGATCTATTGGCCTGCAGTGAGGATGAGCCCTTCTTGCTACACATCACCTGCATAGAGGATGCTGAGGCTTCCCTCCTGGGCATTTTGGCCTCATTTGGGTTTTGCAGCCTTCTGAGAAGATTGCAGATCTGATTGAGACTTCAACAACCACTGTGCTGTGTTTTGTCTGTCCTATTTCTTGAAAGCTATAGCACAGGAAAGCTTTGCCAAAACACGCAAGTTGAACCAGGCCAAACATGGTATCCCTGTCCAAGGGAAAATGAAGGCTGCATTTTTCCAGGGATAACAAACTGACAAACATTGACTGGAAATAAAAGAAATGGGGCATTCATGTTTACCAAACTTGTCTAGAACAGAAACAAAGCATAGTGAAGACAGATGGAAGACATTAAATGGTATATTTATAAGGCTGGTATTTTCTTTTATGAAGTAGTTGCTGCTCTGTGTAGTTGAGAAGCCTTTCTCCACCCTTGCTTCAGAGGCTGTTGTAACTAGTTCACTTGAAACCTGCTAGAAGCTTTTCTTATGGATGATTTGCTGCCGTGAACGTGGAACAGAACAAGAGGAATGTATTCTTTTGGTGCTTTTACTGTGATGCACTGAATGTTTCAGACATGCTGGTTAAAAAAAAAAAAAAGTGGTTTTCACAGATGGAACAAGATGACTTCATCAATACTACTTGAAGAGGTTTTATGACAGTGAAATTCTGTATCTGTATCACAGCTTGCTATGATAATCAAGCAAAAATTTAGTAATTCAGAAGTGAAGCTGAATACCTTAGATGAAATGCTAGTTGCAGGGCAGTGAATGAAAGAAATAAATGGCATCAGCCCCAAGATTTCAGAGAAAGTGAGTAGAAATATGTAAATGTAAAGATATCTCAGCATTGTTCTTGGAAAGCCTGACTATCAGTAGAGAAGCCAAACGTGAGAGTAGTAATTAGAACCTAAGAGACATATTATAGGCATATACCACAAAGGCCTATGAAGCAGACCTGTAGTTGGTGTGTCTGAGCAGGTGAGAACAACTGCTAATTTAAATAGTTACCTTTTTAGAAATAGTTAAAATGGATGAAGCAGTAATTTGATGAACACATCAGAAGTGATGGCATATTTTAGAAACGGCTTGGATGCAGCACCATCTACTGGCTGAAGAGTTTGCTGTGTTGTTTTTTTTTTTTTCCTCTTTTTAAGAAAATCCACTTAAATCTGCACAATATTTTTAGTAAATATCCTCGTTATTTCAAAGTCGAGCATAATCATGATGTATTAAGAATGAGATCCAAATGATTGTTTCCAGAGTTGCACATAAATCTACTTAAAGAGCTGTCAGTGTTTATTCTCTTTTGTTTGTTTCTCCATTCCCTTCCACTCGCTGGAAGGCTGAACATGCTTGCCAGTTACAGCATGCTGTTTTGGGGGCTAGATGTATCTTCCAATGAAAAGGTAATTTTGCATACAGAACAAGTTATTTTTTTAGTAGAGCTAAGCATACCACCTTGTATGGATGTTTTGATTCTTATTAAAATGACTGAGAAAATTGTAAGGAAGGTGCATTGGTTGTATTTCTATTATTCTGTCATTTTAAAGGTACACATGGAAGGGTGAGAAGTGTTTGTTTCTTATGTAATGTATAATTTACCATCTAAATTTTATATTCCACAATCAGTGGTTGTACCAAGAATGGAGTTACTTGGTTCACTGCAATCAAATATTTTTTTTCTAAACTGAGCTGTGATGAGAAGTTGAATAAATTAACACAACTATGCCATGTGCTGCCTTCTTAGAAGAGAAACAGCATAAATCTCTTCAGTCATTGAAAACCTCTTCTAACCTACATGATTCTGTATGTGTACCCTGGTGTACTGAGAATTTAAACACTGGATTTTCTCATTTGGGCAATAGATATTCTATTTGACAAGAAGGTAAAGCTTTTATACTCATATACTACCATTTGCATTGGTTATTCTTCAAGGGTTTGCTTTTGTTAGGTGGAAATGCAAACTCACTTTCTGTCCTCAGCTATAATAATATTAATGCCTGTAAAAAGAGTGAAACTTTCAAATGTGACCCACTTCATTTTATTTTTTTAATTTTGAAATCTTGGGTAATATGAACATAGATGTAGGAAGGTAAGTCCTTGCAAGGTCTGTAGTTTCTTCTGTGATATAAGTGACTACTTCCTTAAAAAATACTCATTAAACAGCATTTTAAAGATCATGGGCAATGTTTAATGTGCTCTTAGGAAAGGAACTTCTCCTGCCTGCAGAGCAATTTTGGTAGAGTTAGCAGACATACATAGTTACCTTCAGTATATAAGGAAATCATGCAACAAAATTCAGTGAACAATATTCTTGTACGCCGTATTGACTCAGTTTACCTTCTGCTGCTCCACATTTTCTCTGCCAACTGACATCTGATGCTGTTCATACTGATGGAAAAACTTTGTATGTACACTATAACAGTGATTTACTTACACGAAAACCTTTTCCTATTAATGCAGCCTTTCCAATGTGCTAAGAATCAGCATAAGAGATTTCAGCTTGGCACTAGTTACCCTGCAGCAGACCCTGTCATCCCCCCATTCCAAGCCCCCAAACTCTTTTTGGCCTACCTTGTGACTGTGCTATGTAAGTTTAGAACTTCTTTTTTTTTTTTTAAACCAGTGTATATAAACTATGCAACTTCTGCTGACTAAGTTTCTGTAAAACTGAGCAGCATTACTGCATTGTTTCAAAATGCTTTCTAGTTACATTCAGTAAATACTATTTCATGTATGACGGACTGTACTAACAGGGAAATTTTGAAGTATATGTCCTTACGCCTGTACCAGTAATTTTCCTGCTCTGTGTGCTTAAAGGAACACAGCATAGATTGGCACCAAGCTTTTTACTAATGTAGCAAAAGTCTGGATGTGCTTTTCTTCACTCAGCTTCCATTTGGAAGACGTAAAAGAAGTTATTTCTGCCTTTAGCAACAAGGAAAGTCAGTGGGAAATACTAGAAGTTATTAATTAGAACCCTTTATTCATCCTGAAATCCTAGAAGGGCATTTGTATTGGTTCAGTTTTGTGAACAGAAGGTTGCACAGTCATTAACCAAAACGCTGTTCCTGGCGCCTCATAGTTGAGAGCACCACCTCTGTAGCTAAAAGATGCATGGAGTGGGGGCTGTTACAAAATGAGCTTATGCAATATCAGCATGCCCACGTTTAGAAAATATTGTGTATTCAAGTCTTCAGCTTGAGGCATCAGTTCCAGTAGCTAGTCAGGTTTTGTTCATAGAGATCTTTGTGAGCTGTGAGAAAGGAAACAGTTCAAGTGAAGCAGGTTTTAAATAATAGAACAGTTCCCAGCCACCTGGACGCTAGATTAAAAATAAAAGCCATGGAGCCACTGAAACTTACAGTGCAAGTGGAAGACTGAAAACATTTTTGAAATACGCACCAGGCACTTAGAAATTATCATTCTGAAATGGTGCTGAGCTCTGAAAATGCTAATTTACTTTGCAGAATGGATTAAGAGGGCTATGGAAAGGTGAGAAATGTAAGCTCAGAGAGCTCTTACAACCACGAGTGGCAGTTGGCGTCCCATAGTGGCAGAAAATAGCAAGAGGAACAGGATTTTCTTTCTATTCAGAATTAGTGCATATAAATGGGATATGGTTCATGAGATTAAAAATAACGAGGTTTTTTTTTTTTTGTAAGAAAAACAACTCACAGCCCCAAATGGTAAATTCACATGCTTAGCTTAAAGGGAGTTTTATTACTAGAACTCATTTGCTGAAGGAGAGGCAGAAGGAAGCGTAGAGTAAACTGGAATTTCATTTGTTCCAAAACTGTCTTGCTGCTGGTTGGTGATAACAATTGGTTGGAGCAATAGGTAATGGAAAAAGCACCCATATGGATTGCTTGCAAATACTTTCTGAGAAGATGTAAACAGATGTCATGATGTGCAGCAAACTCCCACTGTTACCATCTCTTATTTTAAGGTTCAGCACAAGATCTCTCTGAGTCAAACACTGTCACATTTCTCTAAGAAACATTATTTTCTCACCTTTCCAAATGCTGTTTCAAAATAGGAGCATAAAAGAGTCTTACAGACACAGCAGTCATTCTGTAATCACATGCACACATGTGAGTGTAAATAATGAAGAAGAGTCAGAGTCTGGCTGCTGGATACAAAGGCCTGCCACAGATAAACTAGAAGTAGTCTGCTGCTGGTTGACTGTTAATGAGCCATATGGCCCTGCCTGCACTACTACTGAAGTCTTGTTTTAGGCTGCCCCTCCTTCCTCACTACTACACAAAAGAAAACAAAGTTAAAAACAAACAAACAAACAAAAAAACCTGTGCTCTTCCTTCTATATGCTTCCAAATAATACATATATGAACAATGTTTAAAAACAGAATGTGCAATTCCCAAATGATTGTGTGCCATCTACTTTCATAGAGGTGCTCAGCAGATATTGCAATCTTGCTCACAGGCAGTATAGTTGACTACATTAACAGACTGCGGAATTCTGGGTTTGCATGATGCATGAAATCTCTCCATCTGGTGAAGATTCAGAGGCTCTGAGGTAGCTGAGAATTGTAGAAACATGCATGTTACAATGACTACAAGTTTGTTGTACTGAAGCTTTTCAAAAATTCACAATTAACATGTTTTTTTTTAAATACTCTGAATATTTTCCTCATTTAAATTAGATCTGGGAATGCCTTCAAATTTCTTGCTATTTTCAAGTGTCACAGATCCATGCAGCGTTTAATTGATATACTTCCTTTCTTCAATTACGATGTCTCTGTACCTTGGAAGGAAAAATAAGTAAATATAATAGATGGACTTCTTTAAGAAACAATTTTAATGAATTTCTGCTTTCCTGACATGGAGAAATACAACATAAAGTTCTGGTTTTGCATAAAGCTCGCTCGTTTATTTGAGAAAGAAAATATGCCCATTTTGTCAGTGAGAGGTATAGCACTGCCCGACTGATCAGCAAGGTATTTTATGGAGTAAGAAAAAAATGCTGATGCTTTGAAGGATGTATTTATGCAAATACTTAAGACTAAATTATTTCATTTGTTATGATGTGTTTTGGAAATCCATGCCACAAACATTACAGTTTTATCTTTACAGTGATCATGATGTATAGCTTTATATTTTCAAGGCACATAGGAGCAGTCATTTACTGTTCTGATTTCTTACACATATTTACTCCTTTGGCAAATTATCTGACATCTAACCAGAGATGTTAATGGCATTGTATATTGTACATGATAAAGAAAGAAAAAAAAAAGAAAAAAAAAGATATGAGCTGGGAGAAATCAATGCTTGGATGAAAGTAAAAATCTGTTGCTGTTTTCCCTGTACTTAAACTGCTTCTCACTAAAAAATACCTGCATTGCTAGAAGTCACAGCAAAGATTTTACATTAAAAGACTCTGGCAAAGTACTAAAAAGAAAAAAAAATAGGAAATATAGATTATATTGTTTTGGTTGTTGCAGGAGACCGAAGAGCTGAATAGTTTCTAAAAGAAAACAGTGCAAGCATGAACAGTGCCATGTAATTAAAGATGAATACAGAGGAATAGTACCAGCAAGCAGTGCAAAAATTAGGTATGTTCCAGCTCTTCAAAGTGAATTCTGCATCATAAAAGTATTAAAATCTGCTGGAATTAAAAGGAAAATCATAGATGATGCAAACAGATGTGGAATGCTTTCTACTTCAGAAGTCCCAAAACAGTTGTAATAACACTTAATTGAATAACTTTCAGAAAAAATAGTCAGTGCCCAAACAAAGGAATCTGACAAAGCAGAGAAATGGTCGTTGTTCACTACCATGCAAAAAATAAGTTTATGCCCGAAGTTACACTTGGCAACAATAAATGTTTGCATGAAAGGAGGATACACTGAGTGACTGTGTAGGCAGTAGGTAGATAAAAAAATATTAGGGCTTGACCTGAGACCGGCTGAGAAAATCAACAGTGGGATACTCCTTCCCAAAATGGCTATGCTTTAGAAAAGAGTTATGGTTGAAGTCATTTCCAAAATGGCTCCACTAGGAAAAGAAACAACTTAATTAAAAACAAAGGAAATTTACCTCAGGTGTTGGGAAAAATTGTCAGAAGTACTGGAATAACTAAAATAATAGAATAAGTCAGGATTTTTAGGACCTTTCCCTCACTGGAGACTGAAATGAAGAAGTAAGACAAAGCACTCCTGGTGTATTTGGTGCTGCTTTTCTGAACAGGTGGACTAAATAATGGCTTCCAAATTGCCACATCTATAACGGCATCTTGACACTGCAGTTACCTGAACTTTCTTCCCACAGAGGACTCCAGTATAACCAGGACGGCAGGAGCACACATTAGGTGACACACACTTGCCTCCAAACAGGCACTTCTGATTGCACACAGCTAGATCAAGAGACAGGGATATGTGGTTTTAGTTATCTAACAATTCAGTGAAGGAAGCTTCACAGTCCTGTGGAACCAACAATACTCTTGCCAAGCCCATCTCCATATACAAAGATGCAGACATAATACGGGAACATGCTGACTATATATAATAATAAAGGAATAAATGAGATAGAGAGAGGGACACGAGTAAGGTGTGTTTAAAAGCAGTACATAGCAATGGTCTCTCAGGGCTACTGCAGCAGCATATCATCTATCCATTTGCATGCGTCGTCCGTGACTATCTTTTTATTCTAGAGAGTTTCAGAATGGGCACAGACATCTGTACTCTGTCCTGCCTTTAACGCAGATTTCTGTTAAAATAAGCCAAAGGACAGGATTTGCAGGTATTGTGCATTTCTGAAGCATTCTAAACTGTGCAGAAATAAAATGTTTACATTGTAGACCACATCATTCTTACGTGTTTGACACTGGATTCCTTCCCACTGCGGAGGACAATGACATGTACTGGGTCCAATGCACTCTCCACCGTTCTTACATTCCTGAAGACAGACTGCTGCACAAAAATCATCACAAGGTTCAGTTATATCTCAAGTGATTATTTTTTATTTACATTTGAGGATGCTCACTAATTGTTGACTGCTTTCTACACAAAATAGTCACATCTTCTTCACTAAAACCCTAAGATCAACAGAATATTAGACAGAACCAGAAACAAAAAGGCCTGCACTCAGTGTATGCATTGAGATTTCTGATACAACACAGTCAGCTACAAAAGCCTGAAATATTAAGTCAATGCCACTACACTGTTTTGTTGTTTTTTTTCCAAGTTTACCTTTCCAAAATCCAAACCTCAGGGAAAGATCTTTCTGTCTGTTATGCAGCTTAACTCACAGAGAATCAACTCGTGAATGTTTGATCTTAAAGTATTTTCTATTTCCACTTTTCTGCACATTCTGTTTATTAAATCATTCTCTAAAACACTACTATTTCTCATTGGTTAACAGATTTTATGATTATGAAATCTCTTTTCCATAGAGTCCAAAAATATCTAATCCTTGTAAATATGGGTGATTTTTTTTTTTTTTTTTTTTTTTTCAGTATGCCTTTCCAATAATTACAGAAAATAACATAGGGAGAACTGTTTTTCATCCATGCCATGAGAGACCTCGTTGTCTGTACCAGTATCTGAGCCTCAGGTGTGCTGATATGACAGACACTTAAGTTTTATCTACTGTATTTCTACCATCCATACTCATGCTGATTTTCACACAAACTGTGCCTTTATCCAAGCTGCCACATTTTATTTACATGCCATCTATAACTTCATCAAGATACAGCACAATCCACAGCTGTGCTTCCATCACAGTCCTATTTTTATCTTTCCTAGAGGATTTATGCCTATTGCATTTTCTATTCCAATCATTTCCCACTGTTTCCACAGCTTTCCGATGTTTCACTGTAGATCTTTTTCTGTGATATCTTTTTTTTATGTCCTATATTACAAACTGAAATTTTTTCTGTTCACTGACCCAGTTCTTTGCAGCTGTATGTATTCAAAAATACAGATGCATCTTGTTTAGACAAGAGTGGAGAAAGAAACAGAAGTATATGTCATTCAAGAATTAAAAAGATATTTTGGTCTCATGATTTAGCCTGAGCTGCGTAGTATTAGTTCCCCATTCTGCATTTTGCTGCCAAGTTCCAGATCACTATTTGTCAATGTGTGTATATTTAGGAGTTCTTTGGCAATAACTTCATATTATCTGTTCTCAGAGCTGTCCTTTAGCCATACATTACTTTTAGGGCATGGTTCTCCTGTTAACTGCATGATACTTACGTGTGTTACATTTTTTTCCACTCCACCCTGAAGGACAAGAGCAAACATTGGGCCCTACACACCTTCCTCCATTCATGCACCTTGGCTCACAGACACCTTAAATTAAGAAACATTTGCTGTTAAATACTTTTTAATGGTTTACAGAGCAATTTATTAATTACTTTCATATTCTGGAAGGATTTTAACACTATCTTATATCTTACTTTTTTCACATCTTCTGCCTGTATAACCATCAGGACAAGTACAAATGTTGTTTCTCATACAGTGGCCACCATTCTTGCAAGGCGGCCTGCAGACAGCTAAAAGATATAAAGGAGAACGGCTGCTGTTTGCTTTTTGTTTGCAACATACTTCCAGGAAATTAGTGCAACACTAAAATCCTGATAGTGCCAAACATTGATATAAACTACCAAGCCTGTCTATTAAAAGTCATATTAGTGGATTTACTACATCAGTACCAAATACAGAATAAGATAAGAATATGTCAAGGTTGGCAGTGTATGTGTATGTGTATGTGTATACAAGTGACCAGACTATATAATATATGAAGCAGCTGGTCAAGTGGCTGAACACTGCTCAAGAGTTGAGTGCAAGAGAGAATGTGAATTTTTAGTATCTCTTCTTGAACATTGACTGAATCAGCCATAAAAGCTTTACATATATATGTTTGTACACTACTTCTCTGAAGCTTAACAATGCTTTCTTACTGATTACCTCATAACAACAGGAAGAGAAAGAAAAAAAAAGATTACCATTCTGACATTGGGTTCCATAAAATCCATGTGGACAGAGGCATACACCTGGCTTAGTACAGGAGCCACCATTGCGACATACAGGGTCACACATCGCTGCACAAACGGTGAAGAAAAGTGAGAACCATGACAACAAAATAAAATCCATAAAATATCTACTTCTGTTGCAAGGATTGTGATTAAATGCCTCGCATGAGTTCACATTATGCCGTTCACTTAAAATCTCTACCCAAAAATTTGAGATCTATATTATAGAACTGCTACTTGGCATCAGAACTAGCATGCAGAAACAAGAAGGGGTGTGGGGGCACACCAGCATTAAGCAGCCACCCAATGCTGCTGTCTGAGTAACATGGTTACAAATTTCAGATTATGAGAGGCCTCCCAGGAATGTAGTAGAACTGTAGGAATACCCTGTTACCTGTACTGCACGTTGGTCCGTACCATCCAGATCTACACTGGCAGATGTCTGGAGTGAGACATTCACCACCATTTTCACAGTGCCTGTTGCAAATCACTACCATCCATCAATCAAAGAGGGAAGAAAAATATGTTACAGAAAATCCTACATCCATTTTTCAGTTCTTTCCCAGATATTAATACTGGAAATTACACACAATTTCACTAGAGGAGTACATCAGATATTTAAATTATAACTTGCTTTGTTCCCAAAGAACACGAAGAATTTTCTGTATTTTTTGCTTATGATTTTTTACTTACTTGTATCACATCTTGGTCCTACAAAACCATAGGGGCAGGTACAGAGATTTCCGGCCAAGCATGTGCCTCCATTTTTACAGGGTGGTTTACAGTGTGCTGTGAAAATAGAATTCCGTTGTTCAAGAAAGCACATCTAAAAAGATGTGTGTATTGGTTAAGCTTTAGCAAAAGGACACGGTTAGTAATTGACAGCGGGGAAAGAACTGGAAATAAAATGAAGTAACGTGTTATGCCTTTTCACAAGAACAAACAAGAACTGAATTTCAACAGAGCACACAGAGTTCCACCATTGGTGGCCTCCCCCAGAGAATGGAAATGTGAGACAATTTCCAGACAGGACTGCAGTCCTCCAGCTTTTCGGGAACGTTCAGCTTAGAGGCAGATAGAGTTACAAGTGAACTCTGTTTGCTGTGAAAGTTACCCTGGCCGCTGTCTTTACATAATTTCACGTTATCAGAATTACTGCAGGAAAATCTGTGCTTATCTGTATCTTTATTATTATACAGGTGTAAGGAAGCACTCACCATAAATCCACCTGAAAAGACTGTGGAAGCCTACAAATTAGATGTGACTGGCACTACAGTTAAATCAGTCAGTCATTTTGGGTCAGCACACAAACAGTCCAAACCTATCCACAGGAGGGGTCATGGCAGCAGGGTCTTTGCAGCTGGCAGCCCTAATCACTGGGCTAGACCAGACTTCTTCCTTTCTTGCTGCCTGTCCTTGAGAACATCACTCACTTCAACAGAACTGCTAAGTGCTCTTACTAAGAATATCCTAATGCATGGTGTCTGGGAAACTGTTGTGATGTGTCTGGAATCCAGATCTCTCTTTCACTTGAGAACATCCCAACCATCACTGTGATAGAGAGCTGGGTGCCACCATGATGTGCCATTGGGAACTCTTCCTAAGAGGACACAGTTAACAGCTGTACCTTCCTGTACTTACAGAAAAATAAATCATAAGTAAGTAAATTGGGTCACCACCTGGACACAACTTGTATTCTCTGTACAGTCAATAGAGAGCAGAATGTATTTACATTAAATTATTTGGAAATAGAATTATAGAGAATTCAGGCGGCTGTTTGAGACATTCTTTTGTATTCTTACCCTCTTCCTCAAAGGAACTGAGAAATTTAGGGATGGCAATACCTAAGCAAAGGCACCTAGGTTAGAAGGACTGGATTCTAGCCAAGGATCTGTTGGAAAGGCGTATGCACACCTATGAAAGTGAACTGCAATTTGTTGACCTTTGTTTTCTTAGAAGATTCTGAAAGGGTGAAGTGGAGAAGAGCAACTCTAAACAAATGCCCAGTGGAAAAAGCACTGCTTCCTCAGATGTGATAAAAAATAAATAAAAACCAACCAATGAAACTATTTTTTTCATTAATTTTAGATCAGCATGCAATGTACTGATGATGCAATAAGTTAAATCAAAGTATGATATTTTGCTGTCATAACTTAGTAAACATAGGAATCTGTTAAAGTAAAAATCAAATGAACTTGCATTCCTGTCAGAACGAACGGTTATGAGAGTTACTGACAGCAATCTTCAGATATTTATGAATTCAAAAGTACAAAATATTCTGTTTACCTTCTTCACAAGTGGAGCCGCTGTAACCTGGTAGACATTCACAGACATTGGGCTTAATGCATTTTCCATGGTTTTTACAATCAGGTCTGCATAGTGCTGTACAAAATCAACAGTGATCTTAATAATTAACTAATTTATATGAGCTATCATGGGCTAAATCAAAATGCCATACCCACCTGTCTGGCAGTTATAACCAGCATAACCAGGCTTGCATTTGCAAATATTTGGTTCCACACACTCCATATTTTTGCCACATGTTTGTCTACATATTGCTGAAAGGCAATTAAGAAAACAGTGAAAGGAATAAAGAAATAAACAATGGCATTTCAGCCTAACTATGTCCTATTTAGCACAATGAACATACCACAAAGAATCAATCAGGTCTCTGATCATAAGAGGGAAGCCTGAGATACATTAGAGAAAAAATGTTTTTAAGTGCATCCGCCCAAATAAAAGCCTGTAAGGTAAATATTACTAAGAAAATTAGGAAATTCAGTACTATGTGAATTTTACCAATCACACATCAACAATGTATTCTCATGTTATAAAAATACAAGAGCTGTTCTGAAAGTAATGCCTTCTATTGTATTATGTTGGCCCACAATGTCAGAGACAGATTTTGGTGGAGTGGCAGTAAGGCTGAACTTTCCTAACAGCATTCCCTCGAATTTGCTGCTGTGTGACAGATGGCAGCAGAGGGGCAGTCTTACAAAATGGTGTCTGACATGGAAGTGCATATTAAACAAAGGTGTGTCACTGAATTCCTCCATGGAGGAAAAAAATGGAGCCCATTGACATTCATTGTTTGCTAAATGCTTATGGAGACCAAACAGTGCATGTGAGCATAGTGAAGCAGTGGGTGGTGAGTTTCAGTAGTGTTACAAAGACATGAGACTAGCCATTCGGGATGTCCGTGCAGTGCTGTCACTCTAGAAAATGAAGAGTGTCTCGATCAGCTCATGCATGTGAAGACGTATTGCAACCAGGGAACTGTGTATGAAGCTGAATATTGGTTTCTGTGTGTTGGAAGCTATGGTGGCAATGTTAAAGTATTGCAAAGTTTGTGCAGAGTAAGTCCCACAAATGTTCACATAGAACAGAAAGACCACTGTATGCAAGTTTGTCAAGACCTACTGAACCAATACAAGACTGAAGGTAACAGTTTCCTGCAGTGCATCATTACCGATGATAAGATATGTTGTCACCACTATAAGCCAGAGTCAAACCAGCAGTTCATGGAGTGGCAACACGACTTCTCCATCGAAGAAAAAATTCAAGATGCAGCTCTCAGTAGGTAAACTGAGAGTAGGTTCACTGTCTTCTGGGATAGGAAAGAGGTGGTCCTTCTGGATTTCCTGGAACCCGGACAAATCATCAACTCTGACCATGACACTGACTAGGCTGAAGGCTCAAAATTCCAGAGTAAGGAGAGAGAAGAGAACCATCTTTCTCTTGAAATATGATAACTGTAGCCCCCATACCAGTTTGAAGTCCATGGAGCACATCACCATTCTTGGCAGGACTGACTCAGCATACCCACTGTGTAGACCAGATTTGGCATCTTCTAACTTCCAACTATTTGGGCCAATGAAGGACAACTGTATGGGCAACATTTTCCTAGCAACAAAGCCCTCAAAGCAGCTGTGAAACAGTGGGTCACCTCCACTTGTGCAGATCTTTATGAGCGTGGCATGCTTGTTCATCTTGGGCAAAATCTTGTTCATCATGGGCAAAAATGCATAGCTAATGGTGGTGACTAACTGAAAAAGTAGTATTTTGTAGCTGAGAATTTGTTCTGTCAAATAGTGTTATTGTGCTCTTTGTGTCGTAATTTCCATGTTCCATGGAAATAAATAAGAGGCATTATTTTCAGAGCAACCTATATATAAAATAATTCTCAGCGAAGCATTTAGTACAGTCATTTGCCATACCTCTACAATTGAAGCCATCTCCATAGTAACCATAGGGACAACGACCACACTTGACTCCATCATCCTGACTTGGCTCACAAGGTACTCCAGGAAAACAAGGTAGTTCAGCACAGGTTATTGCTTTAGGAAGTACTATTTCATCTGAATCTTCAGGAAGCATTTCTGGTGGGATAGTCACTTCAGCAAGAGCAAAAAGTAAAGGATTCATTCTACGCTTGGCTAACAAGTGCTGAACTCTGTGAGCATTTCCACCTTTAAATATTTTGTGTGACGAAGAAAGCCCTTTGCTTGTATTCATTGAACTGCTAAGAGAAGCCTTCTTGCCAGTCTCCCAATGACTGTAGGCCTCAACTTGTGTCCTTGTTTTCTTCTCAGCTGATACAGCATGGCTCCTTGAAGAAGCTGTAATCACTGTGTTTTCTGGAGAAGCCCCTTCTGTGTCAGTAAGGTGTCCACTACTGCTACCAACAGCATGAGCAATGTTTTCAGATACATCTGGTTGTACAGAAGCACTTCTCTGAGAATTATATGACTTCTCAGTGGTGATTGTTTTTGGTCTGGAGAGTGATGGAGTACTAGTATTGTCCATTTCTATAGAAATAAATCTTCGGGGGACATCTATAGAACTGGGAACAGAGCTCAAGACCTTGTCAAATGATGACTGTTCAAAACCTACAGAATGTTAAAGAAAAAGGAGAAATATTATAAAACTTTTTTTCTTTTAAGGATGGAGAATGTCTTCTGAACAGAAAAACTATGTTCCATTCATTCCTCTCCCCCCATGTGCTACACCAGAATAAATGTTTGCAGTAGGACATAAATCTCAACTGGCAGACAAAGGTACTCTGTCTACATCCTTTCCCACTCTCACCATGGCCTTTTGGAGCAGGCAGCCAGGGATTTTCAGATACTGGGTCAACAAATAACTTTATTGGCAGAACAAATTACCAGTGCCGTACAACTAAATTACTGTAATGGTGTTTAAACAAAAGATACTGCTTGCTGTTCACATGTATGTCTAAATGCAGATAATAAGCCTAGAGTCTGGAAGCAGATACTTAGTAACAATATATACTTACCCACTTACACTTACTTACATCACATGAAGTACTTTGTATGAATAATTCACTACTTTGTAGCAAAAGTATATTTTAGTTTACTTAATTACTTCAGTTATCTCAGAGCTCTCAGATAATTCTCTGAACATTTTTCTTCATTTTGATAGTTGTTGTATATTTTTTATTAGTGGAATATTACATATATGTTTTCAATGACAAAGATGGATTCAGCCTTCTCTCTGATAGCAATGCAGAATGAACGAGAAATGCTCCATATTCTGAAAAAAAGTGGGTGTTCTGGTGGACTGTAGAAAGGAGTATGGCACTGTAATACAAGAATGGCAGAAGGCTTTCAATGGGCTTTTTAGCATTATGGGTTTGAGCAGGAATGAAGTTGGAGGAGATTGTTCAACTTAAGATCTGTCCTTTGAAACAGTATTAGAAAACTGTAAATAAAAGGTTAAACTTCCCTGAATCTTATTGCAAAGTGTTATGCTTCCTACTGGTGAAAAACAAAGCATTAGAAGAAACTGATAAAGAATTATCCAGCACTGGCAGTTGAGTGAGAGTGCATTTTCCTCCCCTGCTAACAATTCAGAGATGAAGAAAAAGACACCTGAGGAGAATTCTCTGTGAACAATACCTCAGCAGACACAGAGCTGGAAATGCCAGCAATAGTGTTTAAAGAGTTTTGGAATTAAGGACCTTCATTTGCCATACTCTTCACCTTTCTTTTGAATTGAAGTATGAAAATGGCATTCAACACAATGCCATAAACTTTTGCTTATCTCATATAACAGATGTCCCTATCCCCATGTTACCTATTGCACGTCAGTGGTTAGTCACAAAAACAAAAGGCAGCAGTAAGAATGTCATATATCACACTGACAATGAAATGACTTGACTGACCTAAGGGATTTGTTGATATTGACATTTCAGTGTCATTTATAAGATCAGAAATAAGAATGCAAACCAAGTCATTAATTTCACTTAGTTAAACTGAAAAATTAAAGTGAATAACATAAAGCTGACTAAAACCTTTAACTTCCCAGCTATATTCTTATCAGTATGTGAATTAGAAATTTCACTATCTTCATGAAATAAAATCACCTTTATTCTCTCCAGCTTCCCCTATGAAATCTTTTCTTTTAACGTAAATGTCGTCAAAGGTTTCTGAAACAAAAAATGAGAGGGCACATTAATGGTTACTTTTACTTCAACAGCAAATAGATTACAGAACTCCAATAGAAAAAATAACTCAAAATTCAGACAGCAGATGAAGAGTAAAAAATGTTTCTTGAAGATTTGCAACAGACCACGTTAAAAATACCAGTTATTCAGAAATTGCATAAGAGGACACAATAAATTAATGTTAGGCACCTGATTTCTCGAGTATCTTTATTTCAATAAATAGTTCTATGCTGAGCAGCCTAAAAGCAAAGCATTTTGTCAATAGTTACTCGTATTATGAAAATAACACAGAAAAAATACACTGCACAGATTCCTAGTATTATGTGAAAGAATGCGGGCATTTGTAGCTATTTTTTTTTCTAAACATCTGGAAGAGGAGTTTACAGCTGTGTGACCCACTACATTCTGATATTGTGACCATCTGAGATTCTGTCTCTGTAGCCAACAGTCAGAGAGTTCTTTTCTGCTGACTACTCTAGAGTTCTAATTTACTGTTAGAAACATAGCACACCCAGTAAGACAATAGTATTCTAAAAAACCAGATCATATTACCGTAGCATGACTTCCCATCTCCATGTAGATTTTTTGGGCATGAACCACAATAGTAAGAACCAAAAGTATTGAAGCAAAATACTCCAGGGAAGCAAGGGTTGGATGCACATTCATCTATATCTTCTTGACAATTTTCACCTGCATTCAAATACAGGTTTTTATAATACTGTTGTCACCAGACTTTGACAATATATTTTTAAATGATAAAAGTAGAATATATGTAGATGCAAAAATACAAAGGAGTGCATACACTAAGTACATCAAAATATTTCTGTAAATCTAATAAGTCAGCTCACTATGTTTGTCACATACATTTTTTATCATATGCCAAGTTTCTTGCTTATTGCAGAATCCGAAGAGAACAGGCTCTGTGGACTACATTTATCTGCTGGCATTGGAGGAGCCATGCTGGGACCAAACTTATCATTCTTGTTTTTTACTGTATTCACCAGAGGAAAACAGAAAATCTAAATGTGAATATATAATGTAGTAGTTTACCTTGAAGTTCAGGTGGGCATTCGCAGTAATAGCTGTTTATTCCATCTACACATTTGCCAGTACCACACTGGTTGAGTTTGCAGTCATCAGTATTCACTTGACAGAGATCACCTTCAAATCCAGCCACACACACACAAAGGTATCTCCCACTTCCAGGTGGGAAATTAATGTTTGTCACACATGAGCCATTATTCAGGCAATCACATGAATTTACTCTGATCTACAAAGCAAGACAAATAAGATAGTTTTCTCTTTTTATGAACTAGCAATGAATATTGTAATTAGATACTGTACATATCTTACTAGCATGAGTCATTTTACTGTAATATTAATTACCTCTATTTCTACCTTAGTCTCCGCATTGCAGTCATCTGTCAAAGAAAATGTTAATTTATGGGGATTCTTTGACACAGCTTTCCACAAAAGGAGACCTGATGGGGAAAGACTGGCACCTTCAGGACCAGACTCCAATGTGAAAAGAATAGCAGAGCCCTCTGGATCTGAAGCCAAAAACTGATATACAAAATCTTCTCCATAAAAAGTCTGTAGCATACCCTGAAAAGTTTCAAGCACAGGAGGCTGGTTGTCTGTAACAAAGGAGATATTTTCTCTTTTAAGCAGAGTTACAATATACTTATAAAAAATTTAAAGGAACATATCTTTCTGTTAAGGAAGACATATGTGACTATTTCTTTTAAGTTCTAACATCATTTCAACAGTACAGGAAAAAAATAGATATTTTCGTTATAATTGTAACATTAACAAGAAATTACTTAGAGTATGTAAGAGCTTGTAAAGACTGATTGCATTTACATAGAAAAAGGCCTCAAAATTTACTGAAATTAAAAATTGTTTTTATAAACTGTAGCAGTTTAAAAGTGAAAGTACAGAAAATCATAAAAAGTTAGAACTAGGAAGAGATTGAGACAGTCACCAAAAGTCCCATTCATACAAGAGCCATACTAATCCAGGCAGAGTCATGCCAGCACTTCCCCCATGAAACATGATGGGATTCTTGTATTTGAGATATGATGGACCTGGGTTGATGGGGAAAGCTGGTTGATGGGAAAGCTGAACCAAAAGATCTACAGCTACTAGGCTAGAATTTTGTACTATAGCGAGACAGAAAATAGAAACTCTAGATGATGGTCCTCTTTTCGTGGTATGGTTTCTAATTGGACTGAAGTATGAGATTCATAAATATACAGTGAAGTATTTGCTTAGGCCATACATCTATGCAATCAATGTGAGTTATGTCCAAATATTAAGTGGTTAATTAACATGACCTGCCTTTTAATCCAGTTTCTTGTGTTCACCTCTTGTTTGGTATAAGTCAAAGACTCTATGGAACAAAATCTTGCATTAAACATCATTAGTAGGTCTATGGGGTGTTAACAACATTTATGCAAAGCTCTTTACAGAGCATTTTCATAGACATATGTATACAGAAAAGCTGCTTGTTGCCTAGCTTATGCAGAGCTACATTGCTCACATTGTAAGTTAGATAATTTATACAATTTTCAACTGCAATTTCGGATTGATTTTCATTGCTCTGCCTGCAGTTGTGGACTCACAGGTTGCTGAATCCACTGTTTGTTGATGAGGAGATCAACAAAATGCTACTAGTGCTACTAGTAACACCCTAAGTTAATTAGTGATTGAGTACAACAGAGCTCACGGATGACGTTTAAGCAGGAGGATGGACACAGGCATCATGAGACCCCTTCCACTCTGAATTTTCCAATGATGAAATTATGTGTATACAGACTATTCAATATCTGCACATAGACTGTTCAAAAAAGTGAAAGAAAAACCTTGCCTCAGAACATGCACCTGATTGTTGGGAAAGACCTTTTATTCCTAAATGTTGAAGACAAACACTTGTGGACATGGCTGTACCAAAAATCAAAATACTGTTAACTGCTAAGAAGGCTCAAAGAGTTGTTAACTTCAGAAGTTTCTTGTCAGTTATTGTGAACAGGGAAAAAAAAAAAAATCAAAGAGAAGACAATCAGAACTATTTAGAACTTACTTTCAACAACTGACCAACTTAACCTTGATGTGTCGGGTCTGCAGAGTAAGCAAGGGCTGGTTGGATTCGTGTCACCTTCACCGTAACAGAGTCCATCTATATTGCATGTTTTCTCCTTTTAGAGAAATGACAATGTGACTCATTAATTTTCAGTTGTCAAACAGCAAATTTCAGAATTGTCTATTTGTAAAATTTTGCATTTGTAGTGTCCAAATCTAATAAATCTAATCCTAATCAAACCTAACCCTACATTGTACTTTTAGAAGTAAACAAATAACAGTATGTTTGGTTTTACTTGTTAATTATATACAGTGTTTTTTGTTGTTGTTGTTATTGCTTTTTTCCTTCAAATTTTTCTCTTCTGAGCTTCTCCTCTGGTGCTTTTCATTTCTGGGCATGAAAAATTCCTGTTGTAAATGAGTACAGGATGTGTGTTTTTTCTACCTGAAGGGATGCATACTTTAGTAATATACACAGAAGAATGAAATATATACCTTTAGTGCACATAATCCAGATTCCTGTAGTTCACATATCTGACAGGCTCCATCGTATATTATCATTGTTTTAGAATTGCTGTAAGTTAATCCATCATTAGAAATCTGCAAGACGTAGAGTAAAAGATATAGAGTAAAAGTAGTTTAATCAACATAGGTATCAACATCTCAGCAGCGCTGACTGCTATCCTGGGATTCAATTCAATGACAGGCACTGCATTTAGCTGTTTAAACTCTTGTAATAGTCAGCAAAACTCTAATCAATTATATCAACAAGATTAGGCAGGTATTTGACTGACCACATGTAGGTGTCTATGCTAGGATAGAATGACCAGTTTTTAGGGTCTATTGACCTTATTGACTCCAACTGCGTGATACCTTAGATGTCTACCTCGCACAAACATTCATGTATATACATTGAGCTCAACTCATTTTTTCTGTCAACATATTGAATGTCATTTGAAATGCACTAGGGTAACTACTTGGCCTTTACCTTCAACTTTCAAAGGATGCATCCTTCTATAGGTTCTAGGGGTAGCCCCTTATAGGGGGCAGTCCCCTTGCAGGAAGCACTCTGTATTTAAGCTTAAGAAGTTAAATGAGACGCCATGTTAAGCAAGCTGAATTCCATCCACTGTACCATTAAAAAATAATAGTTATATACACAGTGTAGTTTCATCTTAGTATCTGTAAGTGAATATTTGAAATTTCTGCAAGTACCTTTATTTTCCACCAGGCAATGGGTTTATCATCAACCAGATCCATGACATCAGACTGTGGGCCATTATTCGGTAACTCGCAGTCGACAGTCCTGACATTTTGGAAGGCAGCTGACATAATTAGAGGCTCTCCAGGAATCCACTGGTTATCAGTATACTAAATTTTAGGACAAATAATTTGTTTTTCAGTGAAATGGAATATGAAAATATTTTTATCAGAGAAAAAAAAACAAACAAACATGTATTGCTTAGTGTTTCAATGTGTCTACTTCTCTGGATTAGAATGATGTGGGAAATATGTCATTTTTTCCCCCACAAATAGATTTCTACCTGAGCCTGTTAAAATGAAAGAAGAGAAGTCTTTCCTGGTGCCTGGCAATTTGGCATGGCATTACCAAGAAAAATTCTTCAATCTGGAGAGTTATGGAAGAGTTAAGCAGTGGGTGATCCTCTAAAGTATCACTTTAAAGTATCACTATAAAGTATCACTGATCTAATGTCTCAATTACTTTATGCCTCTCTATCTCTGCTCACAGAAGTGGACAAACTTTAGTCAAATGAACAGATGAGGTTCTGGCAATACTCAGCTATGATTTTGGGTGCCAGCAAATACTGGCAGTTAGCCACTAAACTTCTGCACAAATGAACAGATTACAACATTAACCCTGTAGTTTTCTTTTCTATATTCCAGGAAGGGAAGTTACCCAAGGATCTGTCTTGAGAGTTCAAGATAACAGAATAGGGATGGTAATACTACATGATAGAAGTATGGATTGCAATAGGAAGCAGGGTCAAATGTATAAAATAAAATAGGTAGATAAAGAATTGAGAGAACAACAAGATAAAAATCACGTTGAGCTTAACTAAGTTTTACTGAGTTGGCTATTTTTTTGTTACTGTAACGAAGTGAAACATTTATTTAATCCCAACCCTGATGTAGGGACCACAGTTTTGCACTTTTTCAAATAAAAAATAAAAAAAATAAAAATAAAAAAAAACCACTTTAAAAAATGCTCAAAAGACAAATTAACTATTTTTGTTCAAACCAAACTTTTTTCGACATTCTTTCATCCTGTGCTAATTAATTAATGGCAAAGGTAAGTAAAAATGTAAAAACTAAGCATTCATGTATACGCAATTTTGAGATCTTTGACTCTTTGAAATGTGATGCAGTCTATTTTTCCAGAAGCCATTTGTTATCAGCTGGAGACACATTCAGATATTTTTTTCAGAAATATTATCGCTCAAAAATCAATTAAAAATCTCCAAATCTGCTAGAACAAAGTAAGGGGGATTATAAACATTCTTATCTTTTGCAAGATCTAAATAAATTCTGGTATTAATACTTAATGTGTAATCATTAACTCCTTGGTCATGTCCTGCTGAAAGCTCTACCAAGAGATGCACACTAGTTATGTATCTGTGAAGTACTCCAGTGCAAAATTCTCTGAATCATCTCTTACAGCACTGTGCATGGTAGGACAGCCTGTAGACAAACAATGTGATTTAATCTTTCAGAAGAGGAAGCATTACAAATGAGAAATGTGAGTGTATTAAGTCTAAATTCAGCAAAAATGCTTCTAGGAAATTTTGATCAGTTGAACTTATCTCAAAATACCCACAAGAAGTGCTATGTGTTGTAACTCCACTGGCATTTGCACAAAGCCACCATTATTCCAGTCAGAAAATTAAAAGGAAACAAACTTATTTTCTTTGGTAGTTTCAGGAAGAAAATTTAAAAAATGCAAAATAAAATTTAAAAAAAGACAACAACAAAGGAGATGACAATAAAAGAGATTATCTAGAATGTTTGTGTAGTTCAGAGCCATGTATACTACCACAAACAGTGTTGTATCGGAGTATTTTGTCATGAGTTAAGACAGAGGCAATTCAAATTATTGCTATCAAATTCCCAATAATTATCTGTGAGATGGTCTGAAACTCTTTTAACCTATACTCTTAACTTTCCCATTTCAAGCCAACTAGCAGATGATTGGATAAATGTGCACAAGAAAAAAACATCTATAACCCCCCACACTGCTTAACTGTAGCATCTACTAGAACTAAGGAAAGCATTTTTTGGTTGTCCCAGGAGCAGAAGATTCCTATTGAATGTTTTCCCTTTTGTCATTCTCTCCCCCCCAGTCATCACGAGTGAAAACCAGTTTTATTTGGCAGGTTTTTTTTATTCTCATGTATAATACAATGTAAAAACTTGTAATCACAGATTGTTCATTTCAGACTAACACTTGTAAATGGCTTTTAATTTTGCCTTGGGCAAATTCTAGGTCTGACTAAAAACATTCTGTCTGTACAGACTACTCTGACATTGCAGTACAGTATTTTTAATCTTCTGTTCGAACCTAGGCTATAAAGCTGACATATTATTAAATAGCCACAGTATTCTGCTCCTGGGAAATGGACATCTCAGAAATGCCTTTTTCTTTTTTGTAACAGATTTATTATGTTTTTAAAAAGGCTATTTTGAGTATTGAGTTTGAAACAGTAATCTAGTGATGTCTTTAACCTTGCAGTCCTTTTTCAAAGAACTGGTACTTCATTTCCTCTCCATAAGCACTTAAAAAGAAAAAAAAAGAAAAAGAATGGAAAGAACAAGCAACATCCTGGTTGCCACCAACAGGACTACCTTTGCCCTTTCTAGATGGATATCTGCTGTTTGCTGTTATTTCCTTTTAGCTGCTGAACATTCCCATTATGTTTTGCACTTTCAGCAGTGAGGAAAGTGCAATCTTGCAAAGATTTGACTGCCTGCTGCAAAGTGCTGAGTGCCTCTGCTTTTAGCTTCTACTAAACCATTGGGTTGTACCAACATAAAATGATTAGATAGTTTTTACTTATTCACAGAGAAATTTAAACAGAATTATTACTATACAAGGAGACCTACTTGCAATCTGATAATTTCACACTTCAGATTCGATGACTCTCTGAAGCCATGTCCAAAAGCCCTCACTGACGTGCAGTCATACTGACGAATATCACATAGCCCAGCATTTTCCAGCTCTATTATTTCTGGAGGTTGGTCTTTGAAGTAGAGATTAGAAAATAAAAGTCAATATAATGATCTCATTCATGTAGACAATTACTTTAGGCAACACATTTATTTCTCTGCCCAACTAAGAAAAGTGTCAACAACAAAATCTGGAGCAAGGGGAAAAGGTACAACAGTAACCTTTTGTGTCATTAAAATGAATTTCACCTTCAAAGCGAGGCTTTATATCTTTTCTTGGAACTTCAGATTTATAAAGCAGATGAAACATTCATGCAATAACAAACTCTTGTGAATATGCAGTCTATCGCCTCAGCTATGACTCTTTACATCACACTTGCAGTGTAAAATGTAAATGAAGCTCAGGCTTTAGATATAGGAACTCGAAAATTACTTGCAATAATTTATAATGGATTTTTTTGTTTGTTTAAAGAAAACAAACACGTGGAAGGTGGTTCATGAAATAAACTGACAAAATTTAGAATACTCAAATATTTCCTCTGAAAGCAAAGCTGTATGGGAACTGCTAGATCACGGCCTGAATCTCTGATTGATCACCTGAGGTGAGCAATGAGTCAGCCCTGGGAGGCAATTCACCTGTGCTGCCAGAAGAGGTGGAACCTGGCTCCACCTTTCCTAGACCCATTTTAGAGCTGTCTACCACTAGGAAAGGGTCTCTTCTGGAGATCCCTCCTCTGGAGTTTTGCAGCAAGCTCAGGATGTAGATAAGCATTCTATCTATTCTCTTTTTGTTCTTATAACCTGCTTAGCCAAGCTCTCTTGTTTATTTCATAATTATAACATTTTTTTATTCGTTGATATACTTGACTACTTGACTATACACAAGCCCATCTATTTGAGTTTAAGAGGAAGCAAATATTTCTGTTTTATTACTTTCTTACTTCTTCCTCCATTTAAATACATTAATGTAACAAAAATACTACTATAAAATATCAACAGTTCTGAAAGACTTTTGAATTTTCAACCACACCTCATATTCTCACTGTGTTATCTGCTTATCTATATTTTCAGTCAATGTCTTACTTAATGAAAAAAACTTGCCTAACTCTATTTGCTAAATTTTTTCTTCACCATCAGTTCTGCTTCCACATTTAACAGTTTACAGAAATGTAACATTGCCAAAACATCCCACTTCCAGTTAATAAGCAGGACTGCAGGAGTGTATGGATGTGGCAAGATCTCCCTGAAGAAGACAGCTGCGGAAACACACTAATCTCTTGAGGCAGTACTCTGGATTGCAAACTGAGTAGTAAATTTTAAAATCTGATATACCATAAACTAAGCCCATGTTTTTCTCTTGGGAAACAAGAAGGCTAAATAGAAAACAATAATGGCTGTATTAAATTGGAACTAGACTGCTGGATAATGAACAGGCCCACCACAGGGAACCCTTGTCAGTGCACGAAGAGAAAAAAATAAAAGCAGGATAGAAAAACAGTGATGTAAAACATATGTTGCACAAACACAGAGACTGTTATTTTAGTAAATCTCATTGTTTTTCCCACCTACCAGACAGTATACTGCAGTCGTATGAACCATAGCCTTGAAAGCATGCACAACCCCATTCTGTACATTCTCCATTACCACTGCACAGACTGGGACACTTCAGTGCAGTAAGCAGGTTCTCAACAAACCCCTGAAGTTCCTGTTGACTGTAGTTTATTTCTTCTAAAACTCTCTTCTCACATTCATTCTCTAAAAGAGCTAATGAAGCTTCTGCCCATCTGAGGTCATCTTTCAACAGTAAATCTTTAACACAGATACTGATTGCATCTTCCATTCTCCTACCAAGAAGGCCACCACAAGCTCTTCCTATACTGGAATTGGCTATTGCCTGCTGGCACAGTCTCAGAGCACTGGACTCAGTGAGGCCAGAAGGTGTGGGCCAAGAAGGAAGAAACTTCTTGTCTTTGTCAGTGGTGTGGTCCTCTGGGAAAAAGTACCTATATGCCTCTAAATCCATTTGGCTTAGATTTTGGAATAGAAATACTGGATGATATTTGTAATAACTTTGGCGCTTCCTTCTATTTGTAGCAGATTGACTTTTCTGATTACTGTAGCCATCAGAAATTCTTTTAATGTCTGAGCTTGAAGTTCTTTCTTTTTCCATACCAGAACTTATTTTTGAGGTTGCAGAGACATGTGGCTTTACTAATGATGATTTGTGAAGTTTGGTTTGATTATCCTCCTTTTCCAGAAGTGCAGCAGAATCCATTTCATGTACAGATGAATGTTTGTTTAAGCCTTTGACAAGATCAATAGGGCTGAGATACTCAGCAGTGACATCCAGTCCAGGTATCAAAGAAAGAAATCTACCATTTTCACTGTCTTTACAAGACAGGGGAAGTTCCGATTTAGAAACTGCCTTTAGTTTATGTACTGATGGATCTAACCCAACATCTTCAAATGTGCAGTCACAGAAATTTGTTTTCCTAGAAGATGGTAATGAAGAAGGTGTCTTGTCAAACAAGCTACCTCCTGGTGGAATTCTAGAGAAGAAAAATAGAAATTCTATCTCAACTTATCTATATATTTTTGTTGTTTTAATAATCTGTGCCAGTTTTGCTTAATACTTCTACAGCATAAATTACAGAATCTACATATGGTTACAGATCTCAGTTAAATTGTAAAAATATATATATATATATATATGGGAATAAGGTATACTGGAAAAAAGAGTTAAGAAGGCAGATCTTTTCTGATTTGTTCAAAGCAAATTCATTTTACATCATAATCCTACTTAAATACAAATTTGGCTCTTTGGTCTGTATTTACTCAGATATTAACTTAAAAATTCTCTTTTATTTCTACAAATTTTTGAAGAGCGCAAAGGAGTGATTGAACCAAAAACTGTCATTTGATTGAAAAAGAAGTATTTTGTTACCTCCATTCCTTTATAAACAAAAGAAGAGCATCAGAATTGTTTGGAATTTCCACACCATTGGCAGTGTGAAAGTCATTCTCTGCAATTCCATCGAAGGTGCCACAGAGCCCCATTGTATTTCTGTAATCTGAACTGGGCACCCTAAGTGTTATGCTCATTCCCCATTCACTCATATCAGCACGAATGAAAGCTCCAGAAGAAAACAAAACCTAAAAAGATATGGACAATATAATTGTGAGAACCATTATTCTTATTTTTCCCTAATAAAATCAGGTACATTCATTGATAAGGAATGATTTACAAAGGCAGGCATATAAAGATGTCCCATTAAGTTCTGGTTCTAACTATTCTGAATCATACAAATTTTGTTATTTCTTTTGGTGTAGCACTGTAGATACAAATCCTGTGTGCCCCAAAAAGCACCTAGATGGCACATTTCAGGCAATAAGCTTCATCCATCATTAGTAGGTATAGAGCAGAAGGTCAATGACTGCAAAACCACAGATAATTAAAGAGTAAGTGAGCAAAGAAAAAGGGCCACTCCCTCTCCAGATGGAAAGGGATAGTTCTAGTAATATAAACTGACTTGTTGGGAGCATACCAGCTATATGATTCTATGTGCTAATTCTATGGCTTAATACAGAATTTTCTACCTGCAAATATGATCTGAAGTGTACCGGATAGCCCAGAGTACTCTCAAAAACTCACTATTTTATTTCACAATGCTCAGCAGAAATACTGACATTTTAGAAATAAACTGAGAAGAATTAAGATTTTCAGTTTCTTAATAAGAAGAATTAAAGAATACAATTCAACAATGTTTTTACTGAAAGGAGGGGGGAAGGGGGGGGGGGAGAGGCATAGTTAAAGAAGAATAAGCACGTTTGCACATAAAGGAGAAAGAAAAGATAATCATACACGGATGACTGAATAGGTGAAGTGACAATGTAAGATTTTCACTTCTAAGTTTAAATGTTGTTTCTATGAACTTGGTGTGCAACTTCAAATAAGTCACTTATTTTTTGTTTTAGCATCCTTGCCTCTAAAAGTGAGGAATTTCATTTCTCTGTTGCCTGATGTTCTCTAAATATTTATCAAGTATTAAAAACGTATTAAATATACTAATAGACAAATCCAAGCTGAAATGGTCTGTTTTTAGTGCTTGCATTTCAGACAACAGAATGATAAATAGCAGTGGAGTGTTTCATTTTAAAATTCTGCATAATTTCAAACATCACTTGCAAGCAAAGCACTGGCCAAATTACTATGACTATAAAATAAACATTATTGTTGTGTTTAATTGCAGAAAATAAAGCATGTTTTAGTTCTGAAGTTGGTATGAATTGGTAAAAATAATTACTGAAATAGCTATTATATCCGAAAGTAGTATGAACTTACTGTTACTTTTCTTCCTAGGTAGGATTCAGTGATTCTGACGTTGCTTCCTGTTGTGTCTCTACTTATTATGGATAAGTATGGCTGTGACTCATGTAGCTGACTACTGCACATATCATATGCAATTATATCACTTCCTTCTTTGGCAACAAAGCCACAGTTACAGGATGCTGGATATTGAAGACTTCCACAATCCCACTGGCGAACATGAACTTCAAAATCTCGAGCTGTACTCTTATAGAGAACAAATGTTCCTGTTTTAAAATTGTCATAGAGTCTGGTGTCAAAAGAAAAGCATAATATCACCAGGTGTCAGTAACTGAACTTAAAACAGATTTCTAGTATTTGGTAGGATTTGATACTGTAGTACATTTTTGTGCATCGTTGGGAAGAAGAAAAAAAAAACAAACAGGAGTACTGTTCACAAACGCAAGTAACTTTGTTCTAAACAAACAACACCATATCTCTTTTGCACAGCTCTAAAACAAAAATTTAAAGCAGAAACAGAAGGAAGAAGAGAAGGATCACAAATGGAATATGTAGACAATGTTTGTGAATGGAAAGATAATCATGAAGCCACTGCTGTTCTTTGATGCATTTTAATTGTGCTTTTGTCTATTCTAACGGGCAATCAGGGGATGCTCCTTAGCCTTTGTGTTTCTACTGCAATGCAAATATCCAGCAGGAGCAAGAAGATGCTTAACTGTGTGCATGTGAGGTGCAGATGCTGAAGACTGTACAAGTACCCTTGATGAAATGATTTAGAAAGTCAGATACTTTTAAAAAGGTCTGCTTCATTAAGATGGAGAAAACCTATTCCCAAAGATTTGAAAATGATTTAAGATGAAAACCATAAATAGTGACTTCATTTTTTTTTTTTCCCTATGGGTTAGCCATCTGTTCCCTGAAGCAAAGTTAGAATAGCCAATTTAATGATTTGGTGGCAAGAAGGGGGGGGGGGGGAAGAGAAAAAAGAAACTTTTTCTGCAAGTTTAACAGTCTCTTGGCTATAAATGGCATTTGACAGTTAATTGCAGAGTAGTGATTTGCCTTTTGTTTAATAGCCTAGAAGACAAACTGCAGATGGCCTGCATGCAATCACCTGTGATTCTGCAGGGGCAGTTCCCTTTCTCTTTGTTTCCCATGTTTATAAAATAAGTTAGCAATGCTATTTATCTTTAAAAAGAAAGGTGCAGCACCATATTCCAGCAGGAATATATTTCAGTAGGTTGTTACATCATAAGAAAGCTTGATCACAATGTGGTGATGGTTAAAAAACCCACTGAAGGCATCCCTGCAATTTCGAATGAAGAAAGAATCGCAAGTCAGCATAACTCCTGTGACTTTATTACTATTGTTAGTAACAGTGCTCTCAGAGCATCCATTACAACCTGTTCTTCCTTTCAAATTCACAAGAAAAACTGTGTTGTGTGTTGAACACACTTATGTGCAGGCAACATATCCTCTTTCTCTCACACTGTCATTTCAAGAAATGTGCTTCTGCTGAGCAGGGAATATACAAGTCCCATGTGTGGAACTTGTATTTGTTTTGAACTCTTCCATGATTTAGAAACAATTAGAAAGACAGAAGCATACAAAAACCATGCCAGCTGTGGCTAAGGAAGCTGTCTTCACTTTGGAAAGAAGGTTTAGTGAGCTGCAAGTGACAGAAGCGAATAAATTGCTGTCAGTGACATTAATGAACTCATCACAATGTCATACTGACAGAAGATAGCTTCCAGCAACTTGATCCTTACAGGGATTCAGATAGGTACACCAAAAATATGGGAGCTATGCTGAAGACTGGAAATACTTCTGCATTAAAATAGTTTTGTCTATTCAACCATTTATCACTGATCATATTTAATAATATTTCCACCTTTCACATTCAGATTCTACAGCTGTTATTTCTCTCTTGGTATATTCCTCTAGAAAGGGTAATTGTCTACTTACTTGTCACAACCTAAAACTTGTATTTTCAAACATAAATACTATAAATATGACTAACAAGCTTTAACCAGGTGGAGCATGTTTATCCTATTATCCAAGAGAGTGAAATACATAGCACAACTGAACTGTAGAGAACTACAGCTTGCATCACTAGCATAGATTAAAAAAACAAACAACAGCAACCCTTGAAATTTAAAGCTTCAATCAAGTGATTACCTTCCATCAAACGTTATTATATGAGGGTCAGTAAATGAGTAGCAGTATGCAGTCGGTAGATCCTTTACAGTAATCTTCAAAACAAAAAAGTGCATAGTAAATCATATTAGGTTAGACTTAGGCACATTATTTATGTTCTTGATGTATTTCATAATAAGCAGGTTATATTATTTCTAAGTAGTTATGTTAATATTCAAATGTAAGAAACTTAATCCAAATGAAAAGGCAATGTTTTAATGGAAATAAACCAATTAAAAATTGACTACTTCGAAATCTTGGTGTAAATCAGCATGTCACAACTGAAATAGAAACTCAGTTTAGATCAGCCACATTCCTGGCTTGTTGGTTTTACAGATCTTAACACTTAGATTTTCAACCTTTGCGCTTTCTGGAACATAGCCATTCCACAGGAAATTCTCACTGGATATTGGTTCGACTGTAATTCTGGTAATTCTGTCTCCGTCCTGCATAAAGTCTGTCACAGCAGTGAAGTAAATTATTGCTTGACTACAGATTCCATTTCTACAGGGTTTCTGGAGAAGATCCACATGACAAGAAGAAAGAGCCAAGTTTAAACCTAGTTGTTCTTTACCTGTTTTAATGAAAACACATCATTAATGAGTTTTCATCTAATCAAGACACATTTTGTATATTGCTGTTAATATAAATGCTAACTTACGTACAAAGTGATGTACACAAAAAGTGTGGGTTTTTTTTTTTCACAAATGAAAGTAAGTGAGCATTTTCCTTGACTATGATCATGGAAAACCCTCTCCCTACACACATCCAAGAAAATTATTTTAATTTTCTACATTGATAGCCAAATGAAAGTCGTGGAATTCCTGCAGATGGGACAAAAATGCCTGCCTGAATAGGCAAGGATCCCCTTGATGTTCACACGACTTCATGTTCATGCGACTTGGGCATAGCAGAGCACTACAGACAAAGAAAGACTAAAACCTGAGTACTTCATGACTGTATACAATACTTAAAACACAGTACATAAAAAAAAATAAAAAATGGATGATGGACATATTCTTCCATACTTTCAACAGCAGTACATACGGCCTTTGAGTATTTTAATAATTTAGAAAGTATTTTATAATACACCAGATTCTCCAAAGAGGCAAATCAGAGGGAATATTTAGAAAAACACAATGAGCATACAAAATGCAACACACACACAGAATCAGGATAATACTTGCCTTCATCAACAGTATTCAATCTTAGTGATATTCTGCAGTCACTTTCAACCTGGTTAAATTCGGGACAAGGAACAGGGATTCTGCTTTCTATTGACAGTCTGTATTCCTTGCCATCTTCTGATATATCATACGCTTCTGGATGTATCTAGCACAGAAAAAAATATACTTAAAATGCAAACATCATTTGTGAACTACAGCACCCCTACTGATCAGGAAGGAGTAAAGTACGAAAAACTAAATACACTGAATGGTGTGGCGCGTGGCCCACTCTACTTGTTATCTAGATGGTCTGAAGTGCATTTGCGTACTGGGAGAAGATGAGGACACTATAAAAAGTGTGTGGAAAGAGTGTCAATAACAGGCTAGGATGAGGTAAAGCTAGTAAGAAAGGGATTAGCAAGTACATTAACACCATAAAAATGCATTCTTTGGGTAGCTTCTGGAAACCAGCATATAGGCAATTTGTCGTATTGTACGCAAAAAAAAAGCTACCTAGGAGCTTCACATAAAAAGGAAAATAATGCATTCATATTTTATATTATGTGCTATAAAATGACTTCCACTGACAAGAGATTAATCTGGACCCTTAATCTGCAGAAACATAAGCATGCACTTAGCTTTATGAGAGGTAAATCTTCACTCAAGGCCATGGAAATTTTCACAATATGTGTGTGCAGTGTCCCATTCCTGGCCAATAAACAAAGTGGTACCTACAACTAAATCTATGGTAGTTTCCTTTTGGACCTCTTCTTCACCTTTAACCAATTGGCATGGCACAGCTCATGCCTGCATCCTATAAATATTTCCCAGCATACTAGTCTAAGCCAAAGCAGGTTGGTTTGACCCTTCCCTCATCCCCGTGGCCAGATGGGAACAGACCCTGATCTCTGTCAGCCATATTCTGGGAGAAACAGTTGGCATAGTCTAAAATTGTGCAAGAGAGCAGCTAAGTGGTCAAAAGCAAGTCAGAGCTCAAGTCTGAGCCATGGCCCTGGTTAGTTTACAATTACAGAGGATGTACTGGAGTCTACTTTAGCTGGTGGAGATCAAGGTGTTTATGGGTTGTTATAGCTTGCATAAGATGTTGATTCAGTCTTCCTGTACCTCAAGGGAAACACAGAAACGTTTGTTTCTTCCACTACTTGACCAATCTGAGTTCACTACTGCTGACAACATGCTTTGTTAACTTGATAATTATATTGTGAGTACCTTACAGTTAGAGGACTCTCTATCTACTGTGGCTATTATGATTCACTTGCTTTTGTTCAGCATCCTACATGGTCTTATTAGAGCGGAACATACAATAATTACATAAATGTTCAAATTATCCATTCATATAAATTTTCCAGCATACCCAAAGAAAATGCACGAATAGCTACATATCTGCTGAACTGGTACTCAGAAAGACTCCCACTACAAAAAAGTAAAACATTGTTTTCTTTTCAAATGACCTTAATGCCAGCAAAAAATTCCTTGCTCTCAACTGGACTGCTATGTATGCTTGGCTTCTCCATGAAGAAAGCAGAACTGCTACAGTAGACCTGTAGAAAAAATCAACACAGTACAATATATTTTTGGTAAGAAGTGAATATGAAACTCAGCCATGATGTCAGCTTGATGAACTTGTTAAGTCTAAGCTTCTGTCTGCATCCAAAGTTACCAACTGTCAATGGTGCTGTTTAATTGACTGAATGAGACAAAATATTCCAAGATCTCCTCCAGGCATACAAATCATCACATTTAACATGCACCTAAATTTCCACACATTTAACTAATCGCCTCTGGAATATTTCTGCACATCATGATATATTGTGGACATGCATTCTACACTTTATTTTTTTTTAGTTCTTTTTGTCAATTCTATGTTTGTTGCCTTTTAATTTTGTTGAATACCCATTTGATCATAGATTACACAAAACAATCATTGCCCCTTCCTCTCTTCTCACTGCCATTTCTTCCCAGTGTTATGGGCCTGAATTATCTTCTATGGGATAAGTTTATTGTGATTTCTCTCCACTGACCCAGTACTGTGCTGCTAAATACTGTTTTAGATGCTGTTTTTGTTTGTTTTGTCTGTTTTGCCGTATCCTTTTTTGAGATGTGATGATGCTTTAGCTTTTCAAAAAGTTACCAGGTGAACGTAGATATTCATTCTGCTACCCGTGAAATTTGAAATTAACTAATGCAGTTACTCATACTGCTGCTTTTGATGGTGGGTATCAAACTATTTATATCTGATCCTTGACACAAAGTCATCAAGCAGTGGCTCATTATTGATTCTAAGCAATCTATCTGCTGAATCAACAGCAGTTTCCCACAACTCACTTTGCCACTCTCTTAAGGTTGTTACATTCCAAATCCTCTTAATTCACAATATCAAGCAAAATTCTAGTAGAAAGTAAAAAAGATTCAACTTGAATAAACATCTGTTGGAGGCATGGTATAGTGTACTGAGACAGTCTCAAAACATTAATAGTAGTGATAATTACTGATATATTCTGTGACGTTTCCACATTTGTAGGGGCAGTGTTGATGTAAATAAAAACTAGAGGCAGTACATTTCTGCCAAGAGAAATCATACAGCAAAATGCTGGCACTCCATCTCTAGCAATTGTTAGTATCTGCTGAGCATTTATGAAATCATAAGTCTTTAGACAAAGCAGCTATAAGAGATTATAGTAATTTTTAACATACTCTTTCTCCAAGTCTGACACTTGTCCCATCTAACTCTAAGAGTGAGAACGTATGAACTGTTCTCTCATGTTTCAGTTCTTCTTTGATGCCTTCAGGAGAAAGTCTTGACCAAGTCACAATGAATCCAACTGAGCTGTTTGCAAAAGGAATGCCAAAGGTACATCTTAGGTAAATACTCCCTTTGATCAACTCTGCTGCAACCTCAGGAATGGCTGGTAGTGGTGGTGACACAGATGGAGACGTTGAAGGAGCCACCTCACCTAGTCAAACAAAAATGTCTTTTATGCTTTTTATTCTATGCAAAAAGAAAAAACATTGGATAAGGCAACATTTACATATACTTTATCAATTAAAATCCTTATAATAATATTTACCTCTCTTGATGTATGGAAATCTTAAGTAGTTGTTTAGAGAATCAGAGAGAACATGTATACTACATTCATGATTAAAATGAGTAAAATGGATTACTTTCTAGACCATACAAAGGTGCTGACGAGGAAAAAATACTGAGGGAATTAATTGCAATGAATTATTTTAACAGATAGAAGAGAGCTAAGGAAAGAACCAAAGGAATTTGGCTGACATACAAAAATATTTTCTCTGCTTACAAAGAAGAAAATAGAATGGGCTATGCAAGAAGGAAAAGAATAAACAACACCGTGATTCATCAGGAGTTCATCTGCAAAATTTATCTGCAAATCAAAGTGACCTAAATTATTTTTAAAATTTTGGGTAATTATTCTGAACATTCGGCTGAAAAACTACTTTTGCAATTGCAGTTCTGCTATCTCCAAATTGTGCATTTTACATTAGACCAAGTTGATAACATGGACTTCTTTTTTATTAAAGACAACATATAACTAAAAGTTGAAGTTTCTGGGTCATGGATGCAAACAAAAATCTTTAAAAGAAAATAAGTCAAAAGAAAATACCTACTGCTGCAGATGCCTTGAATTTCTATCTCCTTGGGATCACAGGCCTGTGGCTTTGCATCTACAACAACTATAAACTGTTCCTAACCCACATATTTACACACTTAACTATACCAGTGCTCTTAAAATATTGCTCCATGTTAAAAAAAAAAAAACAAAACCGTATTAGAAAAAATCAATAACAAGAAAAATAAACATCAAATATTAAAAGAAACTAATGAAAGTATAATCTACCAGAGCAGAAAAATGCTGTGATCTGATTCATATACAATTACAGTAGCAGTCACTACAAAACCATAAGGCAGAAAACACAAGTTGAGTGACTGTATCTAAGAGCAAGAGTACAGAACGTTTTACCACTTCTACATCTTTAATACAGATATACGCAGCAGATACCTAGAAATGTTACTAATGAATAAAAAGGAATTAAGCTATTCTTTCAAATGCATACTTTCTCTTTTAGAACCCTCATCTAAATACTTATTTATTAACTGTAACCATGGACAGTCAAAATCATTGCAGACCTACTTAGGAGGAAAAAAAAATGTCTTTCCAACATGAGACTCAGCAATGTCTATACGTGTACTGTTTGCTACTTTGAACATCATTCATATAAACAAACAAAACAACAACCACCCGTGGAACTTTGATTAAACATGAAAATATCAGTATATTTTGAACAGGAATAAAAGGACTTTAAGTTAAAAGCAGCAAAACTGAAAATCTTGTTCATTGAAAAGAATTTAAAGCATATTTTGGTGTTCCATGCTTTGGTATTGCACAGGAATGACTGCTTGAAAATGTGCATCAAGTGTACAAAGCTATCCAGCATTAAAGAGGAAATACAGTACGTACGGTAACCTAGATATAAAAAGCAGCACAAAAATACAAAATATAATCCTAAATAAAGGGCTTCAGAGTTGAGAGAAGTCACCAGAGCCAACTCAGTTTTTTTTTTCTTCCCTGTTTTGTCTTCAAGCAGTAAAAATTTGCTAGCCTGCTGCCTATCATTTTTATTCTCTTTCTTTTCATGAACGCATCACCGAAAGCAAATGCAAAGTCACATTCTGCAAGATTTCTTTATGGCTTCAGCCACTTGCATTCTGAAATGTCTTATTTCTGGCTTTTTTTTCTTTCTTTCTTCTGCCAATAACCTCTCAGAGAATTACTTAACAATTGATCCCAAAGGGATAATGATGGGTCATAAAGCACCATAAAAAACACCAGCAGTTCTGCTATTAAGATTTTGCAAGCAGTTGGTAATAGAGAGCATGACTTAGAGCAAGACAATATACTGTGCATAAAAGTATTGCAAGTATTTTCACTGACAGTGTGTTACAGGAACTGATAAAAATCTCTTACTACACAGATTTGTCAGTAACAATATCTATAACTTCTTTAGAAGAATTAGAGTAAGAAAAATATTCCTAATAAAAATAAACATGTATATATGTATAATGATGTATATATATTTTTTTTCATCAGTTTATTAAAGAAAATGTATGCTTACACATAATACCAGAGACATTCAGTAATGACGATACACACTATGTGAGTGCCAATGTAGGCAGTCTAAATTTTGACTTCTAGATGTGTATTACATCCCCATCTGACTATATGGAAAAAGAAAAAAAATAGATCCTTATTTTGGGGGCTCTGAACTATAATTGAGCATCAACTGAAAATTACACGGGTATAGTGTGAATTCACACATTGTTCTATCACATCAAAATTAAGAGTGCAGAAAATTTTAGTACATGTATCTATTGCCAGACATAATCAGCAAAATATCTTACAAAATACCACATTTTCACAGAAACATCACTTACTTGCTTTTATGTTATTTTCAGCTATTTTTGAATAACTATAAAATGACCAAACACCAGAAAACATCTGGTGATATGTTAGACATCTGAATACTTATCAGACTTCTGTTTAAGAAGATTAGAATGAAATAGTTATGCTGATATTCAGTTGAAAACCACATTTACTGATAAATATATGCTCTTAAATGCGTTTGAGTACATACTTTCTCACCTTCTGCACAATAACCCATGCATCCTTGTGTGGGTTGTAGTAAGTAAACAAAGAAATCTCCACAGTTCCTCACACTGACAGGGATTCGAAAAAGGCAGCAGTCTTTGGACATGCTGAAGAAAAATTTCCATGTTGCACAGGCTGTGAGCTGCTTGATCTCACCAGGTCGAGGCATGGATTCTGACTCCTTCAGAGACAACCAGACAGGGGCTTGAGTACCACAGTGATTCATCTGAAACACCAGAGAAAAAATGTCAGAAAATAGTTAATGTACATTTATACTTAATCCTCATATTCTTGCACTAGCTACTAGCAAAGTTCAGATGGTATAACTGAGATCTTGCTTTTTTACGTCCTCAAATCTGAACACAAATACACATAATAAAAGAGACTTAAGTGCTCATGAGTATCATGAAATCTCTTTCTATATGCAAAATACAATTTAGTGCCTGAAGAACTTAACCAGGAGCCACCACAACTTCTGCAACCATAAATCCGTTTATGTTTATGAAGCAGAGGACTCCACAAGGACTGTGGTTCAGATGCCAACACAACAGGTGATGAAGGAGAGCTGGTGCTCCCTCTCTCCCATACAAAAGTCTTGCTCAGTGTTTTTTTGTTCAAGTGTGAAGAGTACAGTGCTGTGGAACAGCCCTCCATCCTCCTGAAATCACGGTGGCTATTTGAGGTCTTCAGATTAGGGAAGCTGCCATGTAGCTCGAAACAGTCCAGACAGTAAAACCTGGTCTTAGACCATGTTGTCTTTACACTTCTTGGTCTGAAATCTAAATACAACTGCATGCTCACTTAGCAATTTTCACCTCAAAAGTACACTTTTTTCTTACTCCTGAGCATATTTGTGTCCAATCTACTTGTTTTATGTTTTTGTTGCTTTTCTTATGATTTGGCTTAAAATATATTTTTAAAAAAGAGGTTCTATTAGCTATATACATTAACTATATTATATATTTTATTTGTGGCCAAAGATAACTCCTCTTCACAAAATGCAACTCAGGCAAGCCAAAGGTTGGACATCGAGTGTGCCTGAGTCCTCTATCAGTCCTCTGAGTCCTCTACTGAGCAAACAGAATCCATGAGAAGGATGTTTAAGCAGAGCCTGAACCTTTGACAAGGATTAAGTATAGTTATAAAACACATACAAGAAGGAAATTTCCTAAACAAGATATCCATTTTAAGTTCAATTTTAATGTTTTGATTTTGATTATTTCAAAATAATGGCCTTGTTTTTCCTAACAGTTAAAGAAGAGTAGATATCAGGGCATGAATTTCATTTGCTGAATAATATTTGAATCAATCTCTTGCCAACCGTAATTACCTGGACTCTTCTATATATGGATGGCAGCCATTTTTGACTGCATATTTACTAAGCACAGATAGACTGGGTGAGATTTTTAAAACTCCTCTAGGTTATCTGAGTGGCTATCTTGCTGAACTACCCTGTGTTCTGAGAAACAGACTTTTTTTCCCTGTTTTATCATCCTGATTCTCTGTGAAGAAATGTCTGCTTTGAGAGACATACTACTATTAAGTCAATTTGTTCCTATTAAATCTAACTGAAGAAGTCCTTCAGGAAATACACTTTGCTCAAGGTTTTTCAGCGTAACAGCCCTCATAATAGCAGCCTCTTCAATAATGTCCTGCACTCAATGTACTTTTTGTACTTTTAACTGTTTTGCATTTCTTTTAAAAGAATTTTTTTTGTTTGTTTGTTGTTTGTTTTAAAGAGACTAAGCCCAGGCAATTTCAATTCAGTATACAATCACAGGATCACAGATAATACATCCTGATGACACAGTGACACTTTTTTAAAATAAGGAAATGTTTTCATATAGGAAGCTACAAAGATATATCTTCTTCAAATGTAACTGTTAAAAAGATGTTGAAATAATTCCAAAATGAAGCATCAGAAGTCTAGAGTACCACATGTTCTAAGTAGTTCTTGAATCTCAGTGGACTCGCAGATGACATGAAAACTAGTCAGTTAGCTCTCTTAGTTGAAGTCATTTTAGGAGTAATCTCCTCCTTCTAGAATGATCACTTTAAAACCCAGATAATTACTGGGATATGTCTTCTATGCTCACATGTAGGTTCAGGAGCAGACTGCCCATCACACAGCTGCGGCTTTAAAATGGGACATCCCTCCTATGTTGCACTGAGACACCTTTAGAAGGGACTAAAACAACAGTTTCTGGGTGCTTTAAAAGATACATGAGTTCTTTGCCGTACTCCATTCAGTGTAACATTTTTCAACACATAAATTTTATTGCCAGATTAACATATTTTAATACAGTCTCATTCAGAGACATTTTTTCACATTAGTCTCCATAATTGTAATTATTCTTATGAAAAACATGTACATTCTTCATAAACAAACAAGGTGCAATAATACCTCCACACATTTGGTTGGCATCTCAGCAGGCTTATCAAAAATCATAAAGCGATACCATCCTGGTGCTAGGGAATGGTCACATATTAAATCCTGAATAGCTGACTGCTGGAGGTGGGATGAATCAAAATTAACACTTCGGTAAGGGCTCTGCAGGATCTGATGTCCACCAGGATGGCATTCAAGACCTGTAAAGCAAGAGCATTAAAATGAAGAGCTTAACAGATATGTTAGATAGTAAGGGTGTTTTTTTTATCAGACAATAAGGAGATAGGATCACTACGAGATCACTTTTACAGACCAACATAGTGAAAACTTAATAGTGACAACAAATAACTATGTTAACACTCTAAAATTTAATAAATTAATCACACAGTAATATTCCCTTGTTTACATGGACAATAAATGAAAAATAAATATGCATGTTAATTTGTAATTGAAAAGTGTACACTTTCTCTCTGGATTTTGCCATTTTACTGGCTATGAAACCTAACAACCTGAAAAAAAATGGCACATTTGATACATAAGGAACAAAATCTTACTTCAAGATGAGAAAGGTCTGTCCAAGGGTCTTCCTTTTGCAAATAGGGTAACACTTCACAGTGTTCCTATGTATTAAATGAAGAATGCCCTCAAATGGATGGATGCTGCAGTTACATATAGTTTGCATGTATAAAAGCAGGTTATGGTGTAAGTATGGAATTTGATAGATACTTAATCATAGATTTTAAGTCAATGTGCATGACTGGCATGCACTAAATACAACTGACAAACAGATTTTTGGACATCTAAGTGAACTTAAGGCCTCAAAATAACCTCAAAATTGCTGGTAAGTAAAATTAGGGATCAGAATCTGTAGAAGTTGTAGCAATTTTCTAAAAAAAATGCAGGCTCTTTCAGAAATGAAACTGCACCCTACAATTTGTAAGATCAGTCTTTGGAATCAGATTACTCCTTCCAAAGATAGTGACAGTAGAAGTTCCAGCTAATGGTGCTTTTGCAAGTAATGTAATGGTAATGGTCATTCTTGCTCAGAAATATGTTTGGGAAGTCAAAGTAGGGATGAATTTAAAAAATTCAGCTGTAATTAAAGCTGTGTAATATTACATTTTGAATATTATTACTCTATTCTGCAGGTTCTCACACCCAGGGTTTTTAATATTTGTCCCATGTTTTGCATGGTGTAAAAAATAAATGTGTCACTGATTACAAGAATATTCTGGTTCAAATTGCACCAGATGCATTATTGAGCATTGTTTCATATCACTGTTCAGAAAACTACAATTTTAAGATAGTTTCTAAATCGAACAGTATCCTCCTCTGAATGTAGAAGATGCCCTAGCTAAACAACAGATCTCATTTCTTTCACGCACAGCATGAGGCTCCTATAGACTTTCAAAGACTAAAGATTTAATCTGATATGGCTTCAGGCTACCCAAGCAGGTAACAATAGCTTTATCTTCTACCCTCTAAGGGCAGATGGAAGTCAATGTGATTGACTGTGCCACCACTGTGCTTCTGAGTTGCTTGTCATAGCCTGTAGGCAATTCATGTCCATACAAGTTGACCTTATTGAGAATTTATCTCTCGCTGGAATTTGAAGAAAAGCCCTTGAAGAATCAAAGGTCAGTCATGTGTGTTATTGAAGTGTTTTTCCAAGCAAGCTTCAGCTCAAGCAGTTTACGAACCATGGCAAAAGTTTCTTCCTGTCTTCTATTTTTTTACTGGAATTCTACCTTCCATACAGCACTCTCATTAGTTTTCTTTCCTGTAACTGAAACACTCCAGAAACAATTAATATCTCTTATGTCTTCCATCAATAAATCAAGTGAGACATGAGACAAGTCTTTATTTTTTTTCTCTGCAGTTTAATTAGATCATCGTTTGATAGATCTCTAAAACAGCTGACTGTACTCACTTGTAATAGGGTTATAAATCTTACTAAAGATCAAATTATACATTTTTTATTATTATGCACATCACTTTAAAATGTCACACAGCTCCTCATATATTTTTCTCCCTTTTTAGCTAGCATTTTCATAGCTATTTCTTTTGAAATCTCATGTTGTCTAGCACTCCTTCATTCCTTTTCCTTTTCTTTTTCCTCCTTTTCTGCAAAACAACTGAAAATAATTGCCATCATCTGTAATACAGTAATCAGTAATACAGACTAAAATATTCCTATCTGAAGTATAACTGTTGTGCTACCTAACTCTACCAAGAGCAGATGCAAGTACAACTGTTGTATTTATGGGCACATAAATACAAAAATAACAATGCTATTTTTGCTGTGAGAAAGTAACCCCTGTAGACCAGACCCACACATATCACAGACACTGAGGAGGAGAGCTGGTTCTTAATTGAAAGATGGAGACCTGATTATTAAATCCACTCCTGAGTTATGAAAACCTGAGCTGTAAATAAAACCTCAACTCTAATGTATTGTTTTAGTTAATGCATCCCTGCTGTTTGGTCCTAAACTTCATACTATGTTACACTGAATTATTCTGAGATTTTTCTGGTTGCTTTCCATATTTGGTAGACTTTTCCAGTTATCCGTCTGAATAGATTACAATGCAAGTATTTTCAAGAGACAGAGATTAAATCTCTGAAGTGCCAATGCCAACTGTTTCTGGAGCACTGTCTTCTAAGCACAGTCCAGACACAAAATTTAAATTTTTAGGCAGGACGCTTGGCTGAGAGTTATTGGCAGGTCTTTGGGGTCTTGGTAGATGAAAAGATTGACATGAGCCAGGAGTGTGCTCTTGCAGCCTGGAAGTCCAACTGTATCCTGAGCTGCAACAAAAGAGGGGCGGCCAGCAAGGAGAGGGAGATCATTGACGGCTCTCATGAGGTACTCCCCCCTCTGGAGTACTTTATCCAGGCCTGGGGCCGCCAGCACAAGAAGGATGCAGAACTGTTGGAGTGGGCCCAGAGGAGGGGCACTAAGACAATCAGAGGACTAGAGCACCTTTCCTATAAAGAAAGGCTGAGGGAGCTGGGCTTATTTAGCTTGGAGAAGGCCCTGGGGGGAACCTCACTGCGGCCTTACAGTACTGGAGGGAGGCTTATAAATGAGCGGAAAACGGCTTTACACTATAAGCGGGGAGATTTACTTTAGTTGTTAGGATGAAATTCTTAACTCAGAAGGTGGGGAGGCTCTGGCACAAGCTGTTTGGAGAAGTTGTGGATGTCAGGACATTGTGAATGTCCTGGCAGTGTTCAAGGCCAGACTGGACATAGCCCTGGGCAGCCTGATCTGGTAGGTTGCAAACCTGGCCATGGCAGGGGGGTTGGAACTGGGTGATCTTCAAGATCCCTTCCAACCCAAGCCTTTCTATTATTCTGTGACCACCTACAAAGCACTAAGGGAAAGGCTGATGTATGGTTTCCACCTGCTCTCAGGCTTGGCGTGAGCTAGGGAACTCTCAGGGGCTCTTTGGTGCGAGGGCATTGGCACCCAGGGAGTGCTGCCAAACAGGGACTGGTGGCACAGCTCTTCAGGTGCAGTTTGTATGCTCTGCTCTCCAAAGCCCAGGATATAAACAAATAAACACAACCAGTAAGAGTTAGACTCAATGATTCTCATGTTCTCTTCCATTTCAGGGAATTCTATGATTCTCTGTGTGCACTCTGATGCTGAGTGTCCTTTCTTTTGCATCTATTGATTGCAAAGGAAGTAGCGTATCTGCATCCCACAGCAATTTTAGAGCTTAGGCTGTTTCTAACAAACACATTTGTGTATTTAAAACAAAATATTCAACTAGAAATGAGGTGACTTTTTGAAAGAAGTTATCCTGAAATACTTATTTAGGGTAACATTTTTAAAGTGAAATATAAAAATAAATGTAACCACCACAAGCAAACCCTTAGTTTGGATGAGAAATGTAAGAAAAGCATGATTACAGACATTTTAGCAATGAAGAATATTGCAGTGCAGGGGAACAGAAACACTCCTGCTCAAGGAATGGTGAAGGAAACAATCAGCATGCACACACTGACACAGCATTATCAGAAAGGGTGTCAGAACACTTTTCACCGCTCACATCTACACTTCAGGGCTGCTTTGTAAAGTTTGTGAGTAGCTGCACAACAATTTAAAAATATATATAGGAACTATCAGCATTCCTAGAAAAGCGAACAGGGACCAGAGGGAATGGGAGAGCTAAAGCCAAAGCCCAGGCAGCCTCACTCCGCAGGTTCTCCCGCAGGTACCAAGGCTCAGTTTGTCAGTTCATGAAGTTACGCCTACTGCAGCGAAACGCGCTGCACGTATCTCGAGCACCGAGGGAGGACCTGAGCCACTGAGGGGAGACCGTGTTAAGGGCTGTTTTATTTCTCTGCTCTCCCTGCGCTGAGCAGAGCGGAGCATCCGCCCACCCGGCGCTCCCCCTTGGCCATGTACCCCTGGCCCCGCTTACCTCTCCGGAGGGGCTTCGCCGCCGCCAGGCAGCCCAGCACGGCCGCGCACAGCCACAGGCGGGCGCCCCACGGCATCGCCCACTGCTCCCCGCTCCGTTGCCGTCGCGGCTCTAAAGGCTACGGCCTCCCATCCCCTCCTTAATGCGGCCCCTCCCTCTGGGGTCCTCGGGGGGGCCCGGCCCTCAGCCCTCCTCCGTGCCGGCCCCGGCCGGGATGCGCTGGGGCTGCTGTGCTCTGTGAGCCTCGTGGTCAGCGTCTTCATCTCCTCGAACGCATAGTTCTGTCTTCTAATGTGCAGTTAAATGCTGGAAACAAGCCAGTTACAAATTATTTGCTCTTTATGCTGTGACCATTTCCTTAGGTCACCAAGAGCGCTTTATAATGGTCCTTCGTAATTCCAAACTCCTGGGATGGAAACCATTACCTCAGAATGAAGCCCATAGCTTCAAGCAGCCAAGTTGCAAGGCTTGCTGGGAGACGCTTCTCTTTGGAAATGTCTGGCAGAGAGCTCAGAGTTTAAGGTTTGGTAAGTTTTTTGGTATTTTTCTTGCTAATCTCCAGGCTGTGCAGGCCCTGAAGTATATTGCACACAGCAGGCTGTAGAGATCTTTCACTCGTTTGAATCATAGCATAACAGAATATCCCAATCTGAGAAGGACTGACAAGGATCACAGAGTCCAACTCTGGGCTCCACACGAAACCATCCAAAAATCACCCACTCTCAGACCCAGTGTCTGAGAATGCTGTCCTTCAACGCCGGTACTTGGGGCTGTAGCCCTGAGCAGCCTGTTCCATGCCCACTGCCCTCTGGTGCAAACCCTTTCCCTAACCCCAGCTGCCCCTCACCTGACACAGCTCCGTGCCGTTCCCTCGGGCCCTGTTGCTGTCACACAGAGCAAAGCTCAGCGTTGCCCTCCACTCCATGTGAGGAGCTGCAGCCACCATCAGGCCTTCCCTCAGCTTCTCTGCTCTGGGCTGAACAAACCCCATCTTCCCTATCTTTGTAGCCCATGTTTGAATGCTCTCTAATGGAAAGCATAGACCTCGCTCAAAGAAATGACATTGACACAGGGGAGTACACTCAAGCCCCTGCACACCCACAGCGTACTGCAAGCCACTGAAACTCTGCAAGAAGTGTTGGGCAAGGGCTGCCTCCAGCAGGTGCAGGCGTGGGTACCCTTTGTAGAGCAGTGTCCCTTCAGAAGGCCCCAGGACAGGAAAAGGACAGAGGTACAGCACTGTGGGATGGGCCATCTCCATCCTCTGCTCTGGAAGAAGCCCCATGAAATGAGCAATGGTTAAAAGGCAGTGATAGTGCAGTCTGAACGTTGAATTCTGTCTTGCATTTCTGTCAGTTCTCTGAGGCAAATATGTTCTTCTTAAACATTCAGGCAATTTTAATGGTTAGTTTTCATATTTACCTCGATGATTTTCTGGGTTGCTACCAAATATGATATACTTTTATTCTAGAAGGCTGCGTTTGTCTGAAATTTTCCAAGTGTGTATTTATAAAAAAGACAAAAGGAAAGCAAGAGGTATTTTACCAAACAAGTTACAAAGTAGAGAACTAGAAATAGAGACACTGTGAAGCTTTGGCAAAGTTTAAACACTGAGCTGCTTCTTTGACCGCTGCTAATCATGATGGAGTGGTATTTACGGAAGGATTAACACCTTTAGTCATGGATCATACAGGAGACAAAAGAGGTGGCAATAATGGCTGCTGGAGTAAAGAAACCTTTCATCTTTTCTGCCTGTTTTTTCTCTGCCTGATCCCTCAGCCACTATCAGTCTTGCAGACTCTTGCAGCAACAGCAGAGCAAGAACATATTGGGTTGGAATAGCTGATAACTTGCCAGATAGTATTCGGCTCTCACGGGGACAGAGTTGTTCCAGTAACAGTGAATTTCTGGAAAAAAAAAAAAAAAAAAAAAAAAAGAAAGTAATTCTAAGTCAGGCTTATAGCAGTATGAATCTTTCCATCAGGCTGCAATTTCAACAAGCTCTAGACAGTAACACGTTTACATTGTTTTATTAAAGCATATCAAAAGCAGTGTAAAACAGATTTGCGCTATGGAAAACACCCTTCACTCAAGATGAGCTATGAAGTCACGTTACAGTGTAGCAACATACTATTAAGTAATAGAATGTTTGGGAGAACAAAACAAAGTTGTAGAACGGAGAAAGAATTTAAGCTGATGTGCATGTAGTCCAGAACATCACACTGTAGACAGTTAACAGTTTTTTAAAAACACAAAGTTGGCAGAAATAGTATTGATGCGAAGGAGCACTTAGACTTTGTGACACAAAGCCACATTTTCCAAAAATGGATTGTATGAGTAATTATAGAGAGAGGAAAGACTAACTGTGAAAATTACGCCAGAGCTAATTTTCAGCAATGTAAGTCTGTTCCTTGAAGCTTTTAAATACATATTTAATTTAAGATAGACTCAGTTCCATCTATGAATGAGCTTTACTTTGCTTGGAATGAAGCTGGAGCAGAAGTGCTTTCACTGGTAGAGGACTGATTTATTAAAGAGAGAATGGGATGGTGAGAAACTGGAGAAAATGGACATGTTGGGTGACAAAGAGCAGGGACTTAGTGCTGCAAACAGAGTCATTCTAGAAGTTTAAAAATTCAGATTAGAAAAAGAAAGGTGGTTCTGCTTATACTAAGTCTTAGGTATTGCAGTTAGGTTGGACTGATTTAATGGTTATCTGTGTAAGTGACTGTGCAGCTCCAGTGTGTGTTTACATGTAACTGAACCCTTCACAAAACATGAAAGAAAAAATGGACTTTCTCTTCATACAACCAGCATAGCAACTTCTTACTGTATCTGCCACTTCTATTGGCAACATGCTAGTGTGAGCTAACTGTGCACCTTACATCACCAATATGCAAAATACTCATCGTATACAGTATTTAACAAGATTATATTATCTCTACTTGCATTTACGTTAGCCTTAAGCATTTTAGGTAAACATGTTAGGAATACCAATCAGCACTATTTGCCAATTTATGTTCAGTTGTGAGCTGGAAATGAAAAATCATCTGTGAGTTTTAAAAGTATTTGACTACAGGCTAAGCCATGAATGTTATTTTTAGAAACACCCAGTAAATAAGGGGATCATGTAGAACAAAGGCAATGCTTGTGGTAGGCTAGGTGGAAGAACAAGAAGTTAGTGGGAATGCTGGTGCTCAGGAGCAGGACAAAAGCTGAGAGCTGAGGGCAGCAGTTGAGTGGGTGGATGTTGTCTTGCGAGAGGAGTGCCCTGCTCTGACACTTTGAGGTTCTTTGAGGTGTTTTGTAAATAAAGGTGAACTATTACAGAAGAATCCCATTAAGTTTAAGATAAAATTGCCGACTGCATATAATTTAATATAAACCTTTTCTTTCAAATTGTGAGCACGAATGGAAGTCTGTCTTAAAGGAATCTCTGTGCTGTACCATTAATCTTGTCTGCTATGGTAGGCAAAGTAAATCTGAATAAGCCCTTTAAGCCTATGTTGCCCGGTTTGTTATCTGTGCAGAGACAGAACATGGATAGTAACTCCAAATAAAGTTGTGAGCAGAAATTGGAAGCTGGGAGACATCTCCCTGCAAAGCTTCAAAGGGTCTCAGTAATAATACAAATACTGGATGTTTGGAAGGAGTTGCCTTCAGCAGATAACATCCCTCCTGTAAGGAGCAGATGGCGAGAGATACCCCACGGTTCTGGCGAGATCCAAAACATCAGAGAATGATGAGTTTTCTTGCATTTGCCCTTTCATGTTTTCCGTTCTATCTGTTTGTAAAAATAATTTATTTTTCAATTGGGCCAGTTTATATACATGAATGGTAGGTGAACTTATTCTTCCAGAAAGAATAAATTGCTAACATTCTTCGTCTAATCTAATCAGTTCTGTCATTAAAGTCAAATTCCACACTTCCCTTCAAATTGAGGGTTGTGTGACTTTTAGCTAAGATTCATTTGGTTTAAGAGTGGGGTCTAATAGTTCTGAAAAGAATGTCCCAAAAATCATTATGACGCATTAACTGACAGTTCCAGTTCAGAACAAGATGTTTGATTCTGTCTCCTATTTCTGTATTTGACGTCAAGCAAATAGTATCAGAGAGTCAGTAAGAATCAAACGTGTTTATTTATCTTGATCGTACTGCAGTGAACTTTACATCCTTGCAAGAGGTTAAATCTGCTCATATTTATTTTACTGGAGTGTTTTGTTGTTGGTTTCCTTTCTTTTTCTGCTTGTTTTTTTGTTTTTTCTTTTTTCCTTTTTTTATTTTTTCCTAAAAAATGCATGGCTTTTGGGTGGCATTTGTTTTTCTAATGCATTTAAAAATTGGAGAGGGGATTTTTAAATCTGCCCTGTAAATGTACTCAGTGTTGACAGTCTGTTTAGCTTTCAGAAGTAATGACGTATTCAGTATGTTTTAGCTCCTAATTCTCTTTCATATTTGACCTCCTGCATATGCTACATTTGACTTTTGCAGTAAAGGACTTCAATATAAAAATCTAATGTAAATTGGTTTGTATTAAGCAGTATCAGGTTTAATATAAATTAGGGGAAATCTGTCTCCAGTACTTAGAGAGGCTGCTGGGAGCCAAATAAAATCAGTGGTAGGCTTTCCATTAACTTCAATTTCCTTTGAATCAGCCCCTTACTCTTTTATGGTTCTCAAGTACTTTTATGCTGTTTTTTACAAAATGGCTTGAAACGTAACTCAAATGTCTATCAGCTGTATTTGTTCAGAATGCACTGAGTAGTTTGAAGTCTGAGAAGTGCCTTCATTGGTGGAGTATTAATGAATTAATCTTTGTTTTACCCATTCTGAACTGTAGGAGTAATGTAATTATGTTGATCACATAGATGTGATACAATTTTAACTATTTTTTCTCTTTCTATCTCACATGATGTGTTTGTGTGTATACAACCTAATAAGCTGTAGTTTAAAAAAAAAGAGAATGTAGAATTAGTTGTTTAGCCTGTATAGGATAAGCACTGTGTGAATGTGACCAAAGAACTGGTTTTTTAAGTAAGTAACTGCGTACTTCATACTTGTAATCTTACTGACTTA